TATATATATATATATAGTGTATGCCTTTGCTGGTAGTGACAGCAGCCCACACTGCACCCGCTGCTTGTGGATTGCTGTTTCTGTCTTTCTGTCTGTCTCTCTCTGACCGTCCCTGTCTCTCCTTGATTTTCTTCCGCTTCCTCTTGCGTTTCGCTAGCTCTCACCCACCCGTTCTGGGTACCTTGGGCTCCCGCTCCTTCAGTATCTCTTCCTGTTAGTGTACGGGGGGACAGTCTCATGACCTGCTGTTGCTGCTGCTCTTATTACTGCTGCTCTTGCTGCTAGAGGTGCTGATTCTCGTGCTCTTGTTGCTGCTGGTAGGGCTGATACAGGATACTGCTGCTGCGGGTGCAACTACCGCTGTTGCTGGCGCAGTTGCTGGTACTGTTGCTGCTGCAGGTGTTTCTATTGTCGCTGCTGCTTCTGCTTGAGTGTTTCAGGTTTCTCGCTGGGGCGGTTCCATGGCTGAGGGTCGGGCATCGATCTTGCGGATGGTGGGTCGATTCTCTTTTATTATCAAATATATAATTGTCTTTCCCATCTTCCGTTGTGCGTTTCTCCCTCTGGTTTTGTCCTTTTCTGAACGTCGGGTGACGCCGACTTTCGCTTTTAGTTCCCTTCTACACTTCTGGGAACCTCATCTCGACATTTTGGATATATCTCTCGGTCCTTAGCTTTGAAGCAAGCACACCTCTGTGTCTCGGCATCGCGTGTATCTACATCACTCACTTTTGTTAGCCCGCTAGCCATCGTGATGCTGCAGGTGATGCTGCTGTTGCGGTGGTTGTTGCTACTTGAGGGTCCTTCACTGCTGCATTTTTCTCTGCCTTCTGCCGTTTTGCAGCTGCGCACAGCCCGTCTTCGCCAATGGTTTCTTCTGTGTGTAATAGTCTGCATTTGTTTCTGCATGGTGTACGTGATGCTGTCGCGGGCACTGTGGCGTCTCGGCCTGGCCAGCAGCAGCACCAGCAGTGGCAGCAGTACAGCGGAGGGAGTTCCAGCAGCAGCAGTAGCGGCTGCTGGTGGTTCTGGTATTGAAGGGCCTCACGGTAGACAGACGGGACCGCTAGTGCCCTCCGTACCGGATAGTGCACCTACACCGGAGCAACAACAGCACCGGCAGCAACAGCAACAAACGCACCCTCTTACGGGCCGAGACAAATTTAATAACCTCCAGAGGCACGTACGCGAGAAAAGGGAGCAGGAACAACAACTGCAGCAACAACAGCAGCACGAACAACTGCTTTTCGTGCAGGTGCAGCAGAAGAACCAGCAGCGAGCTGTTCAGGGAAGGGCCCAGGACCCTGCAGAGCTGCAGCAGCAGCAGCAACCGCCGCCGCAGCAGCAGTCCTCAGTGCAGCAGCAAGAACCCTCCCTGCAGCAGACAAAACCTCTTCTCCAACGGAACCAGGCTCTCTTGCAGCAGTATCAGCTTCCTCTGCGGCAGCAGCATCCTGCTTTGCAGCAGCACCAGCCAACTTTGCAGCAGCATCAATCTCCTCTGCAGCAGCAGGAGCAGCCTCCTTTGCGGCAGCAGCAGCAGCCGCCTTTGCCGCAGCAGCCCGACTTGCAACAGCAACAGGCTCCTTTGCAGGAACAGCCTACGTTGCAGGAGCAGCCTCCTCTTCAGCAAGAGCCTCCATTGCAGCAGCAACAGCCGCTGCAGAAGCAGCTGTCTGGCGCTCACCAGCAGCAAGCTTTACAACGGCAGCAGGCCCCTGTGCAGCAGCAGCAACCTGATCTGCAGGGGCAGCATTTTCCCCTGCAGCAACAGCAGCCTCCATTGCGAGAGCAGCAGGCGCCTTTGCAGCAGCAACCTCTGGAGCAACAGCAACCTCTTCAGAACGTGCAACCCTGGATGCAGCAGCCGCAAGCTCAGCTTCAGCAGCTAGAGCAACGTCCCATGCAGCAAGAGACCCTGCAGCAACCGGTGCAACAGCAGCAGCCTCTTGGTACAGCAGGAGCACAAGACTCTCCACCCCCTACTTCTGGGTCCGCAGCAGATGAGACAGGGAAGTGAAAGGAGCTTACGGGTTGGCGAGAGGTAGCCGGCAGTAGAACAGCTATAGGCGGAGAAACAGCTAAACATCGGCGTCAGCCGCAGTCCCAGGACTTGTGTGTACTGTTGCAACTGTCTTCATCTAAGTGGTTTTGCAGCAGGCAGTCGCCGAATGCTTCCGTCCGCACCAGTGGGTGCAGTTCCAACAGCATCAGCTGTTGAAGCAGCTGATGCTGTAAACGCCCCAGCAACACCAGCTGTTGCAGTAGCTAATGCACTAACCGTCCCAACAGCACCATCTGGCGCTGCAGGCGTTGCAGTTAACGATGGAGGTCTGCCTCTACAGGACTGTAGAGGGACTTCTTGTATCCGGCAGGCTTCGTTGCTTTTCCGTTGTTTTCGCTGCTGCTGGTGCAGGCCTGCTGCAGCTGTTGATGTTGCTAGCACTGCAGCGAAGGGTGTGGATGACCTGCAGAGCCAATCACGGAGACCATCACGGAGACGTAACAACTAACTAGTTGCTAGACAGTAGCTAGACAGATCACGTAGCAAGTAGCTAGAGAGCAGCTTGCTAGCAGCAAGCTAGTAGCTAACCCAGTAAAAGATTGAGGGGCAAATCGGGAGGAATCCATGTACACTGTTACTTCGTGACGGCAGCTTTGGCCTACTGGTGTGCAACACATCAGCATCAGCAGTCGCCGCCGCCGCTGCTGCTTTGCAGCTACAACAGACGACACCACCTGCCGGTTTTGCTGCTGGCTCTAGGATCTGGCCAAAATTAGTGGTCTGGGTATCAACAGCTCGAAGGAACTCGAAGCCAACTTAACTTTGGCTATAGCCACTGCGGAGCGCCTAGGGAGTAGCAGGCACAGCAGACTGTAGCTAGCCTTCACGTACCAGCAGCCAGCCAACGGCTAATCGGCGACTGGCCGTAGGATCGTGCACCCAGCTAGCCGACGCGACCGCGCCCAAGCACTGGACAGGAGTACCGGGGCCGCTACCCAGCGGGCTTTCCAGCTAGAGCCAACTAGCCGTCAGGCTAGGTAGCCTGTCGGCTAGCCAACCACATCGCCAGCTAGTTACACAGCTAGCTCGCCATGAGGCTAGCCACCCAGGGCAGGGACTGGACAACACCTCCCAGGAGCTTTTTTGCAGACTGTAAGCAGCACCTGCTGCCGCAACCGCAGCAGGTGCCGCTGCAGTTGTTCGTGCTGCTGTTGGTCCTGCTGCTGTCCTCAGCGCCTTGCTGCTGCCACTGCAGCAACCAGCACGGATATGAGGGCCTGGGCCGTTAAGTGGCGGACGGGTTTGCCCCTGCGTCTGCTGCTGCTACCCGCTGCGGCGACTGCAGGCTGCTTGTGCAGCTGGGTGAGAATAAAGATAACGGGGGCAGCGGCAGCAGCAGCATCCTGCGAAGAAGCCCCAGCGGACGTTCTGTCGCTGCTGCAGACCGACAGTGGAATACAATGGCTGCTGCTTGAACTAAGCCAAAAGGAATGGTGATCTTCAGGGGAGTGGGCGGCCTGCGGCGGGGGCCCATCTTGCTGCTGCTGCCTTTCTTGCTGCTGCAGCAGGTGGTGAGACCGCAGCAGCAGCTGATGCTTCCTGCCGCTGCTGGTCTTCTGCTGCTGCTGGATTACTGCATGGTACTTCACGCATGGGTGCCGCCTAAGAGCTTCTTGAAACCGCGACACTTCAATGACAGGCTGAATCCGCATAACCGCCTTAGTCACAGCAGCAGCAGCAGCAAGTGGACCAACATACTGTGCAGTAGCAGCATCGTGAACCGAACACCAAGGGATTCCAAAGGCTGCAGAAGCCTCACGAGGAAGCGCATGCATACGGCAGCAGCAGCTGCTGTTGTTGAAATGGAGCGACGGGACAGTAAAACGATAGAACCAGGAAGCAGCCGCGTATAACGTCACCAGGTGCAAGTGCAGCAACAGGTGCAGGAACAGCACTAACAACAGGAGAAAGAGTAACATCAGTACGTGCTGCAGCAGAAAGAGGAACAGCAATAGCAGTATGTGCGGCAGTAGCGTGTGCAGCAACAGGAGAAGCCGAATTATTTGTCTCACTGGGACTCCTCGCCGTATTAGGCGGTTGGCGACAGCGACGCCCAAGGGGATTAGGCGACTGCTTGCAGTCGTCAGGACAACGCAAGGGTCACTGCTGCAGCGCAGCGAGAAGTGCTGCAGCAGCGGCATCTGCTGCAGAGGTTCCTGCTGCTGCTGCTGTTGCTGAGAAGCGGACTCACTGCCGTCTTCCTCGATAACCTGTCCGCTTAGCGGTGGGGCAATATTGAGGGACGAAACGGGCCGTGAAGCGCTGCCCTTGCGATTTTGCTGCTGCTGCCCTTTTAGGGCAGCAGCTGCAGCAACAGCAGCTTGTGCTGTATTGGCGCCAGCTACTAAAGAAATGACAGCCTCCAAGTCAAGGTCAAAGGACAGTATAAGAAAGTTTCTGTGGGGCTCCAGCCCCCCAAGAGAAATACCGCGTGGGAATTCTCTCGTTGTTGACGCTGCTGCGGAGCCAGACACTGCAGCAGCACACTCGCTGACCTCTGCAGCACCTGAACCACACGTTGCTGCAGTGCTGCTACTAGTTGCAGCTGCAGCTGCTGCATCGAAATTCATGTTCTGAAAGGGTCTGATGTACCCGCCACCACCTACTCTCATAAACTGTGGTAGAGTGTCCCGCAGCACCGGCTGCTGCTGTTGCTGTTGCTCCTGGTGTTGCTGCTGCTGGTGCCTGGAAGTAACCGTGTCTGCAGGGCTGGCCAAACCAACAATGGGCGAGCAGGCCCTCAAGATGGAGGCATTTAAAAACACACCAAAGACAAGCCTCTGCAGCACAAGAGGCAGCAACAGCACCAACAACGGCAGCAGTGGCACACGCACCACCTAAAGCAGAAGCAGCAGCATCTGAGGCAAACCCCTGGCCCATCAGCAGCACCAGGTGCTACGTATCTCACCCCGGTGTCGTAGTTTAGACTTTCAGGCTGCAGCAGCAGCCGCATGCAGCAGCAGCGTCCTGTTGAAGAGTCCGATGCTGCCTGCAACAGCAGTGAGAGGTGCAGGGCGTGGCTCAGCTCCTTCTCCATCTCAGATGCTGCTGCAGCTGCTGTTGTGGCTTCCCAGGACGGCTGACGCAGAAGCTCTTCACCCTCCTCCACCTGCAACAACAGCTGCTGCTGCTGCCTGCTCGCTGTGAGGCGGTCGCGGGTACTGTGCAGCAGCAGCAGCAGCTCCGAGGGCTCACCTGCAAACGCCAGTAGCTGTTTCAGCTGCTCAGCTGCAACATCTAAGTGTTCCCCCTCCAAGTTGGACAACTGCTGCAGCAGCAAATGCGCGACACCACAAGCAGCAGCGCATGGAATAAGGGTTCAGCAGCAACGCCAGTAGCAGCAGCAGCAGCAGCACTGGGGCAGTGGTAGTAGCAGCCATAGGGGTAGCAGAGGCAACAGAATGCTGTTGCAACAAATACCCACATATAGGACTTCGCTGCACGCTGCCACAGGCACATAGGCACGCTGCTGCAGCTGCCGCGGGCTGCCTTCACATGCCTGCTGCTGGAGCTGCTGCATGCGCTGGTGCTGCAGCAGCTGCACCACCGCTTCCTCGACGTCCGCACGAGGAATACAAAAAAACAGCCTGACACGCAGCAGCCGCAACATTGGCACCAGTTTAAGGTGCGGCCTCAGCAGGGTAAACCGACACACACAGGGCCGCCGCCGCACCAGCAGCAGCTCTGTGGAAGGCTCCAAGCTTCGGAAGGCACCGCTACACTACAAGCTAGCCAACAAGTAGAAATAGTGACAGCAACAGCTGCAGTGGGGACAGTAGCTGAAGCTCACTCTAGCAGCGGCCGCAGGAGCTGCGGCAGCGCGAACTCAATGGTGCCGCAAAAAGAAGGAAGGCCAGCAGCAGCCAGGAGGCTGTGCAGTGATGTGACTGCAGCAAGAAGCAGCTCCCCCTCAACAACAACAAGCTGCTGCTCATCGATAGACAGGACACCTAGCAGGCGCTGCAGCAACTGCTTATCTACAACCTGCTGTTCCTGTTGCTGCTGCTCCCGCTGCTCCCCTTCCTGCTTCCGTTGCTGATGTTGCTGTTCGCTCTGCTCTCGTTTCTGCTGCTCGTGCTCGTGCTGCGGTGATGGGGATGAAAACTCCATAGATGCGCCAGAAAGGCTGCTAGTGTTACCCCGAAAGCCGCCGCAGCCATTCGGAAGCAAGAGATCCTGCAGCACGAGCTGTTGCTGTTGTGGTTGCTGCTGCGGCTGCTGCTTCAGAGGGTAGAGAATCTGAAAGCAACCAGCAAGCTGCGGCAACACCTGACCGAATGGGCCACGGCCGCTCTCGCCTTGCTGTTGCTGCAGCCCAACACACACAGGGTCTCCGGCAACAAAATCTTGTGCTGCAGAGTTGGTAGGTGGATCGACGTAGCAAGCTGGCTGCAACAGCAGACGGTAGGCGGCAAAGGCATTCGACGCAAATATAAGTGGCTAGTGCAGCGGCGGCTCACTGCAGCCGCGTGTTGCTGCGTCCTCTACTCACTGTCGGTGCACAAGCTGGCCCCACACAGAAGCGCTTGAATATCTCCCCGTCTAGCAACAGGCGCTGCTGCGGTTGCAGCGCTGCTGCTACTGCAGTTGCGTTTGCTGCCGCTGCTGCCATGCCCACAAACTGATTCCACTCAGCTGTTCCCGGCAAGGCCCTCACTGCTGCTGCCGCCCCTGCTGCGGCGGCAACCGCCGCAGGAGGGTGCTGCAGCTGCAAGCTGCTGCAGCAGGGAGGGGCGACAGAAGCAGCCGCAGCATCGAGAGCAGCAAAAGCAGAAGAGAGCCGCACTGTAGGCGCAAGCAACAGATTCGATGCTGTTAGGGCCACCACACCGGTTGCTGCTGCACGAAACAAAGAGTACCAGCAGCCCAAAAAGCACAGGTAGCAACATGAACGCATGCGACGAAACTCCCAAGACAGGGGCAGAAGAGTTGCTGCCAATGTCCAATACAAATGCTAGTGCGCTGAGGGCAGCAGCTGGTGCTCTGGAAGCAGCACCAACGGCAGCACCAGCGAGGGACTGCAAAGGCGGGAGGACCGAAAGAGACTACACTGCAGAGACAAGGAAGTGGGGAGGGCACTATACAAATACACTGTACACCTTTGAAGCGGGATACAGCAGCAAAGGGTAAACACCAGCGGCAGCACGCACTAAAACAGAAAATGGGGAGGCAGACAAACCGCAACAGCAGCAGCAACGGTACTTTCCTTTAGGCAATTTTAGGATTATCCTTTGCTCATAAATCACGGATGAAGTGACTAGTGTCTAGGGCACTGACCAGTGGGCTGCTCTAGTGCAGGACAGAAAACTGGCAGCAGATGATGCCAGCCTCCATGTGCCCGGAAGTGTTGCAGCGCGGCGCCCCACAGGAGGCCCCGCAGGCCGCTGTTGCCAGCGCTCAGCTGAAGCTTCTCCTGCTGCTGCAGCAGCCCGCAGCAACACACACGTAGGAAGCATGCTGCCACGCCGTTACAGTTGGTAACAGAAGGCCAGCCGCAGCTGCCACACTCATGTCTTTCGTAGAAGCACGCAGGAAACCACAGATGTCAGAGACTGCCTGGTACTTGCCACCTGATCTGCGCTTCCAGAGACTGCTGCTTTTGCTGCAGTCTCCGACTGGTGCACCAGCAAGCACAAAGCCACACAGACACCCACCAGCAACAGCGCAGCAAGAACAAAGCCACACAGACACCCACCAGCAACAGCGCACGGGGCAGCAGCATATCCCCACACAACAGCACCAGCCCAACGGATGGACACAAATGGCAAATAAGAAAAAGCCACAGCCAGTAATGCGCAGAAAGCTACTGAGGGAAGCAGCAGCAGTTCCAACGACAGCAGCAGCATCCGCAGCCGCAGTAGTCGCACCAAAGCCTCAGAGAATGCCCGGCGGCTGCGGGGGTCAAGAGGCCGGGCAAAGAGAACGTTCAGCACCTCACGCGTGAGCTGCACGCGGGCGTTGATGCTGCTGCTGGTGCTGTGTTGCTGCTCGCGATGTTGCTGCAGCAACCGGGCCGCTGAAGCAGACACTCCTGGGCCTGTCCCCGCTGCCCCTGCACTCTGATTTCCTGCGGGTGTCGCACCATCTACCGCGGCAGCAGAATACAGCCTTGCATTATGGGGGTTCTGCGGCTGCTGCTGCTGCTGCTGTGCCAGTGACCCTGGGAGAGCAGCAGGAGCCGATGCTGCGAGTGCTGGACTGGTGACCGCTGATGAGGACGGTGCAGCGGCAGCAGATGCAGCTGCTTCCTCATCTTCAGCAGTAGAACAACCCCCCAAGCGAAGCAAAAAGGCTTCAAAGAGGCCAGCGTCCACTGCAGGCGGCAGAGCCCCAGATTGGAGCAGCTGCAGCGAGGTCGGGCGTTTCTGTGGGTCTTCTTGCAGCAGCAACCTGCAGCAGCAGACATGCACGCGAAAACCTTTTCCGGAGAGCTCCTGTTTGCTGGGTTGTAGGGACTGTCTTCCTGCACCAGCAACGGAAGGGGGAGCAGCTGCAGCAGGGGCAGCACCACGGCACAACAGCAGCAGCAGCACCGGCTGGTGCTGGTGCTACGGTGGAGTAACAAAGGTAGCAGCAGCGGGACGGGAAGCAGCAGCAGCTAACTCGGCTATGGTCACGGCCCGAGGGGGCATGTAGCCCTTGAAGTTTGTGCGTATAGCCTCCCGACTTATCAACCGAGCCACCACAGGGCACAGCAGCCACAGCTCCAGAAACAGCATCCTGATGACCCATGCAGGAAAGACAGCAGCATCAGCAACAGCAGCAACAGGATTGGCGGCCAACAGCTGGGGCAGCTGTAAAGGGGGCAGCAACAGGAGACTTCACTGGGTTTGGCACACAACAAAATATCTGCTGCAGTACGAAGTCTACACGAACCCAACTGCTACATGTGGAGTCTGAAGGCGCTGTCGCATGCACCGGAAGCAGCGCAAACAGCAGCTGCATCGGGAGCAGCATCACCCGGAGCGCCATCAGCACTACGAGGTGCAGCAGCGTCACCAGCAGCATGACGAATATACAAAAGGCAGCATAAGAGGCAGCATCGGAATGAAGAACAGGAGCATGAGCAGGGCACCAACAACAAAGGATCGGCACGAGCAAGGGCGCATACAACAGCAGCAGGAGCAGCATCAAGAGCAGCTGAATTAGGAACAACAACTGCAATAGAAACACCATCAGCAGCAAGGAGAGAAGGAGGAGCAGCAGTAGCATGAGGGGAGCAACAGCAGCAGCAGGCACGGACCCAATTGAGTACATGTCGGCTTTGTCTGTAAATGGGAGACCTCTAAGGACTTCAGGGGCTACGAATGAGGCACAGGGGCTATCTGGAGACAGCGGCAGCAGCTGGTGCAGCCCAAAGTCTCCTACCTGCAGGATGAAAGCAGCAGCACGCAGCGGGTGCTCAGCTGTCTGCAGAGCACAGCCTCTTTACCGCCCCAGCTGCCAGCAGAAGAGCAGCAGAGCCAGAAGGATATGAACGCAGTCACTTGCTGCTGTTTCTGCCTCCAACATACACAGCGGCAAAACCCCCGCTCATGCATGTCTTAAGGCGGCGGGCAGTACATAGAAAAGAGCTGGAGCGAAAACCAACAGCCCGCTGAGGCGTGCAAACAAACCAAACTTGCCTTCACAATTAAACCCTCGGGGCCTTCCACCAAAAAAATATTAGAAGGATGTAGGGCCCGGTGGCAAGCACCAGCGCGGTGCACACAAACCATTGCCTCCAGCAGCTGCAGCAGAAGCAGCAGCAACACAGCTACTGTGCTTCCACAGCAGCAGCATGGAACTACGCAGCGGCACACTGCGTGCAACAGCCAAGCAGGCGTGGCAGAAAGCAGCACTTGTGACATACTCAGAGCGCGACCGATTTGCCTGCAGCAGCTCCACTAGGAAGAAGCCCGGCAATGGAATCAGCAGCGGCTGCTGGAGCAGCAGGTGCACTACCTGCAACAGCAGCAAAAAGTACCTGCGTAAAAAGCCTCCAGACGTCAGCGATTCGGAGGGTTCTCCCCTCTTTTGTGAGCCTCTGTAGAGTCAATTCATAATATTCCATCTGCACGAATACGGAAAGCTGCGTCTGGTCCTCTCGAGCTGCTGGTGCAGTTGCCGCAGCAGTTGAAGTTGAAATCGCCGCGTCTGTTGCTTCCGCTGTGCGTCCACGCGCTCCTTCCCCTTCGCCTGCGAGTTCCCTACTCCTACATTGCAGTGATGCTGCAACACCGACAGCAGCAACAGCAACAGCACTGCAGTCTGGGGCCGCGTGCACCTATCGACGGTCGTTTTGTTGCTGCGATTGAGAGCTCCTTACCCGTCCCTGCAGCAGCTTCATCTTGCACAGCAGCACCAGCACAGGATGCGGTGAATGCAGCTGTAGGAGCAGCTGCAACACCAGGGGTAGCAACAGCAGCAGCAGCTGCTGCTGCTGCTGGTACAGGAACCCCGTGAGTTGAATGGGGAGGCGTCGGGCTTGTTGGTGTCCTCAGAGGTCTGTGCACCAGCTGTGACCAGCACTGGTGATATCGCATTAGAAACTGTGAAAACCACAACAGGAATAGCACAATCAACGGCAAACACACAAGCAGCAGGAGCACCAACAGCAACAGCTGCACGTGAAAGGCCTGGCAAGCAATCCCTCAGCCACTTGCTTCCCTTTACCGAGCAGCACCGCTTGCAGCTAATGCGAACTGTATATTCACTGCAGCGGCACTGAAAACCGTAGCAGCAACAGCAGTATCAACAACGACAACAGCAGCAAGAAAGCTCACAGGGTGCTCCAGCGTGCAAAGCATGGCAACCTCGTGCAGTACCCTCTCAGCATCCGCAACAACGTCCAGCCCGGATATGTGCCAGCGTTGCTGCTGCTGTTGCTGCTGTTGCAGCTGCATTTGCTTCTCCTGCTCCTCCTGCTGCTGCTGGAGCAACCTCTGCTGCTGCTCCCGTTCCTGCTGGCGCTGTTGCAGCTGGGGCAAGTCGTCATAAACCCTTGTGTATTGCAGTTTGTGTTTTTTCTTGCCTTTCTTCTTCTTATGGCGTTCTCGCTGCTGCTGCTCCTCCTGCTGCTGTTGTGGCGAATCCTGTTGCAGGAGCTGCTGCTGCAGTGCGGCAGCTCCCGCCTTCGCACGCTGCAGCAGCGAGTGGGGAATAAAGAAAAACAACTCTTTCACCAAGTACAGCCTGCTGTCTATCAGGTGCCGCACCAAGCAGCTGCGCTTGTGGGCTTGGCATGATAACACCTGCCACTCGCACGGAAACAAGCATACACCGCAGCACTGAAGAAACAGCACTGCAGCACTGGCAATGCAGCAGAAGCAATCCAAATGAAGCACTCATACTGCAGCAGCACCACCGCCAAGGCATGGCAGCTACACCAGTACAAGCCCTGCTAGTATCCACAACAACAGCACCACCAACAGCAACAGCACTACAGCAGTAGTAGCAGCAACTGCAGTGGGACTTGCTTCTACGAGCAAAAAGTCTCTGCGGTGCCTCGGCTGTTGATTGACGACGTGTTGTAGGAAACTAAAAATATTTTCTTGCTGCTCAGCAGGGTAACCTTCGGCGCTGCTGCTGCTGTATCTGCTGCTGCAACTTGGTGCAGCTGGACCCATACGTACAGCAGCTGCACCTGCCTGTGCAGCCGGCGCCGCTGCTGCTACTGCTGCACTTGATGGAGCTGCTGCTGCTGCTGCTGGAAGCCTCGGTAGCTCCTCAGCCGGGTCTTGGAAGCCGCGGGCTCTGCTGCTCCCTGGGGTGGGCCATCCGGCTGTTGCTGAACTTGGTGCGTTGAGACTTCGCTGCACGCAAATAGGCAGGCATCAAGCCGCAGCTACACCACTAGTTGCCAGCAACTCCAGCGGTGGTGGCAGCAGCTGCTAGCAGCACCAAGAGCAGCAACAACAACAGGAAAGGAGGCGGCTGACCTGCGAAGGGCTGGCCTTCAGTTGTCTGAGGCTGCCGCTGCAGGACGCTGGGCCTGGGCCTCCGTAGAGGCAGCTCTGAAGACACAAGTTCACAGCATCCGCAGTATGTAGTGCAGCAACCGCAGTAGCGGCGAATGCAGCGCCAGCTGTACCACCATCTGATGCACCAAACAGGGTTGAAACGCGCATATGCGGGATGAAGTAACCGTAATCAATTCCATAGTTGCAGCAGCAACAGCAGCAGCAACACCAACAGCAACAAAAGCAGCAGCAACAGGAGCAACAACTGCGACAATAACAGCAACAGCAGCAGAACAAGCACCACCAGCAGCAAACAGCAGTAGCAACATGCACCTGGAAGTCAGCAACGTGGCTTCGTGCAGCAACGGAAAGGCGGTTGTGTCTGCTCAGCGGCTCTGGAATGCTGCAGCTGCAGAACACGTCCAAACAGTACTTTATGCATTTTGCTGTTTCTGCTGTTGCTGCAGCTGCTGTTGGTGCTTCTCAGATCGGTCATCCAGCAAGAATGCAGACAACGACGAGAGCGGAAAATGTTGTCGAGGGGGAACAGCACCAGTAGCCCAAGGAACAACATTTGTACAACTTCCCCCAGCGCCACTAGCAGAAGCAAAAGCAACAGCAGCAGCAGAACAAGACCTACAGCAACGTGAGGGGCAAAGTGCCTGTGGCTTGCTGTTCTTCTCCTCTGAGCCTCGCAGCGACAGCCATGTGGAATTCTGCTGCTTGCTGCTGCGTGGTTGCTGCATCTCCGTCACGCGCTGCTGCTGCTGCTGCTTCCGCTGCAGCGGCCTTCTTGCTTTTATGCAGAGATCCTCGCCTCGCACGGTCTCGCATCAGCTGCAGCTGCAGCTGCTCCAAATGCTGCTGGTGCTGCTGCTGCTGTTGCTGCACTCGCTGCTGCATCTCCTCCCACAGATTTGGCTGTGATGGAAGGCACACCAGAAACGTTTCGACGTGCATCGCCAACGCATGCAGCAGCACCTCCCGCCTGCAGCAGGACCAGCCACAGTAGCAACATCATAGCGCCCACAGGAGCAACCGCACCGCACCGCCGACATAAGCCGCAGTAGCAACCGCCTTCAGCTGGAAGAGCAGCTGCGAGAGCCACCAGCATCAACAGCAACAGCTTACGGTTCCTTGTAATAAGAAGTCGTCAGCTGCTGTAGCAGCAGCTCCAATCGCTCTGCTGATGGATTGCAAGACAGCCCAATGCAAACGGTTGGTCGCGCAGCAGGATATCTGCAGCATTGCAACAGATACCATGAGCATCAGCAGCAGTAGCAGCAGCAACAACAAAATCACTAGCAGCAACAGCAAGGGCAACAGAATTAGGCGCAGCACCAACTGCAGTAGCAGGGACAGCAGTAGCATACGCTGGCGGCAACAGAGCATCTATGACAGCTGTATGCTCCTCTGTCCTGAAGGTGCTTATATGAAAGGCTATTCGAACAGACTCCTTGCTGCTGCTGCGGCTTTTTGTTCCAATGCCGCGACCGTCGCCCCCCAGACGACTGCCACAACACTCGCAGCGGCAGCTGAACGCCACCTTGAGCTGTTGCTGGGGCGACAGAGCTGCTGCAGAGCAACTCTCCATACTGCTGCTGCTCTTGTAGCTGCAGCTGCTGTCTCTGCTGCTGCCTCTGCTGCTGCGGCCCTCAGCTGTGCCACCGCTCTCCCGATGAGCCCTTGTGCTGCTGCTGCTGGCTGCTGCCCCGGGAGCAGCAGCAAAGGATGCATCGTAACGACAAAAAAAGCAATTCAGCGGAGACAGCAGTAAGAAGGTGGCGCATGTGGTAGAAAACAGACGCCCCGCATCCCATGGGAACACCTTGCTTCTGCTGCTGTTGCTGCTACTGCTGGTATCGGCGCTGCTGTGGGCAGCGCTCAATGCAGCAACCGCTGCTGCTGCTGCAGCACAGGTGTGGTCGACCTCCGCCAGGAACATCGCGGGCAGCATCCTGTGGGGCATCAGCACGCATTCCACAGCACCAGTGTTGCAACAGCAACAGACAGCTGCAAACTGGAGCTGCAGCAAACACAGTGCAGGAGCAGCGGCGCTGCAAGGGGCAGCTGCACAGACAGTGCAGCAGTAACAAAGCCGGACGCAACAAAGCAACTGCTCTTCAATGTGTAGCGACTTAATTACCCGCAAGCGCCGCAGCAACAGCAGCAACAGCAGCACCAGCGTACCCGCGCTGCAGCAGCAAAAGTGGGGGGTAAAGGGCATCCAGAGCCCTTATCTCGTCCATGAGGTCATCAGAGCATAGTTGCTGCTTCTTTGGCTGCAGCAGCGGTAGCTGCTGCTGCTGCTGCTTTTGTAGCAACTGCTGCTGCCGCTGCAGCACGCGAACCGCTATCTCCTCGTGACCGCTGGTTCCTGGGTGGAGATGCGCCCCACATATGCATTCGCTAACGGCAAAACTGCTGCTGCTGTTGCCTGCTACAATGGTACTACTACTACTACTACTACTACTACTACTACTACTGCTTGCGCTTGCTGCAATGGCTTGTTTGGCCCGGCGCTTTGTTGCTGCTTCCTGCTGCTGTTGTTTCCTCGACTTCCGCCGAGCATGCCGCTGCTGCGGCTGTTCCCCCCAATTACTGCCATCCCACAGGAAAGACGCAGGGGGTTGAGCTGATGCTGTTGGCCCCGGGGAAGCAGCAGCAGCAGCGGCAGCTGCTGCTCCTCCTCCTCCTGTCTCTTTGTGGGGGGGTTCTGATTGTGCTGCTACTGCTGTTCCCGGAGGCAAAGCTGCAGGAGCAGCAGCAGCAGCACCTTCTCCTGCTGCTGCATTGATTGCTGTGTTTTGACTGCTGTTGGGAACCCGCTTTTTCCCTGCTTCCTTGCGCCCCATGGACGCTGCTGTATCGGCTGCGGCAACTACTGGCCCGTGAGGCTTCGCTTCTGCTGCTGATACTGTTGCTGTTGCTGCTTCACTTATTGTTGGGGCGCTTGCTGCCACAGAAGATAGGCTAATGATTCCTGTGGGGTGTCCTACAACCACCGGCTCTACCTGGCGATTGTAGACGGCCCGACTTCCTGCTGCACCTGCTGCAGCAACAGCAAATGCTGTGCTGCTGCTGCTGCCTTTGTTCCAGCTTAGGACCGACGTACAGCTAAACCACTAGAGCTTGCGAGTCCCCTAGAAGTGTTCGTAGAGAGCGGGGACCAACACTGGCGGCTTGTGGTTGCTGCTGCTGCTGCTGCGTGTTTTGCCTTTGCAGCCCGCAGCAAGAAGAAATTGACTTTGTTGGCACTTTTGAGTGCCTAATGTGTACTGTTTCAGCAACAGCCAGCAGTCGGGTCAGCATCTGCTGCTGCTCCTGCTGCTACTGCTCGTGCGGCTGCTGCTGCTGCTCCTGCCGTCGGTGGGGCCACCAGTGCTCGTCCTTGGGAGGGGCAAAAATTTGCAGCAGCAGCAGTGGCAGCAGCAAACGACGCAAATGAGTCACTCATTGAAGATCCCGTGGGTCTTTGTCTCTTCTGCTGTCTTTGCGTCTCATCAGGACTGCAGCCGACTGATGCCCCCTGTCTCCTGCAGATGCAGCAGATCCTCCTGCTGCAACAACAGGGTCAGCAGCCGCTGCCGCTGCTTGCAACCCAAATGAAGAGCCAGCCTGTGTATGTTGTGGCCAAATATGACCTGAATGTCTTTCATCCGCTCAGCAGCAGCAGCGGCAGGAGTGGCGACAGCAGAAGCTGCGGCTCAGAAGGAGCGCCGGCAGCAACTGCTGCCCAACAGCAGCAGTAGCAACAGCAGCAACTGCTCCTGCAGCAGTAGCAGCCGCCCGAGCAGTAGCAGCAGGAGCAGCAGTAGATGCTGACGCGGCTTCTGGCTGAGACAAGAGCAACAGTGCGACCGCCAGAAGCCCTCCCAACTGGCCCTTGATGGAACGGAAAGAACGGGGGTGCTGTGCAGCAGCACTAGTTGCATGTGTAGGAGAAACAGAAACGGCAACAGCAACTGCGGCAGGAACTGCTGCACCAGCTGTGCGATTCTGCGTTACATGGGGCCTCGTATGCGCCTGCCTCAACCCCGAGTCATGCAGCAGCACAACGGCAGCAGCAGCAGCAGCAGCAGCTCTCCCTCCTAGCGCCCCTGCACGAGCGGCAGTAGCAGAAGCTGCTGCTGCTGCAGCTGAAGTGTTCAGCAGAGCGCCGCTGCGCATTTGCTCACGTTGGTCACCTGCTTGGTGGAGTTATCACCAGCCTGCTGCAGCTGCTGCTTGTGCTGTTGGTAGAGGAGTTTCTGAGGGTGCAACAGCGACCCTTGAAGCAGTCTCCGGGCTAGCAGCTGCCACCTCTGCTGCATCACCAAAGGAGCAATATGAAGGCGACGAGGACGACCTTTTGCTATTGCGTAACGACAGCAGCAGCAGCGGAAGCAGCAGCAGTGGAGGCAGCAGCAGCAGTGGCGGCAACAGCAACACCAGAAACAGCAATGAAGACTCCGACATCTGCAGTTTCCTGCTGCAGTTCTCCTGTAGCAGCTACTATAAGGGTTTGCTGCGGTCTTCTGACCTCCATGGGTCCGTTCGGAGCAGCGCAGCTGCCGCAGAAAGTGTTGTTGCAGCACTGGGAGGGAGCAGCAAAAGCCGAAGCAGCAAAGTGACACTCGTACTGCACCTCGCTCGCTCCGTCTCTGCTGCTGCTTCAGATCCTCCCCCTAGGGCAGCAGGAAATGCAACAGCAGCAGCAGCTGCTGCTGCTGCTGGGACGGACCTGCTTCTGACGTTGGTTTTGAGGAGCAGCAGTCTGTTATGTGTACCGCTGTGCCGCCCCCTTGTGCTCCAGCCGGTGTCTGCTGCTACTGCTGGCCGAAGCTTTTTTGCTGCTGCACTTCTTCAGCAACGCATGCAGCAGCAGCTTCTGGAGAGCTTCCGCTCTGCTGCAACAGAGGCTCTGCAGCAGCTGCAGGAGAATGTGCGGAGCATGGAGGCCGCTGCTGCTGCAGCGGAGCAGCAAAGGGAGCTGCTGCTGCTAGGCTGCTGCAGCCTCCTCAACGAAAAGAAGAAGCGGTGCCGTCAACTGCAGCAGCAGCTGCTACTGCAACAGAAGGAGCAGCACATGGAAATCACTTCCTTGCAGCAACGAAAAACCGAGCAGCATCTGCAGGAACAAAAACAGCAACAGAAGCAGCGGAGAACCCCCACCAGACCCAAGAGAAAGCAGAAGGCGGTTATGGTTGCTGCAGGAAGCCCGTATGCTACTGCAGGGATCCCGTATCCTGCTGCACGGAGCCTGTATGCTGCTGATGGAAACCCATCTGCTGCTGCTGGTGCTGCCGGGCCTGCGGCGGGTAGTCGCAACAGCAGCAGCTGCGCAGTGGGGAGCACACGAGATGGTGCCCCTTCTGCAGCACGAAGTCCTGCTGAACCAACGACAGCAACTGACACTGCAAACGCAAGACAATTATCATCATCATCAGTAGCTGATGATGCCGTTACGCGTGTAGCAGCACCCGCATTTAGTGACACTTGCGTAGGAGCAGCTGCAGTACCAGCTGCAGCACGTGCTGCACCGATAGCACCAGTTGCTGCTGCTGACGCTGCAGCAGCAGAAGGGGCAGGCAGTGCTGTTTGTGCATTGCCTGAGAAGGTGTTCGTCTCCTCACCAGATTTGCTGCCCCTTGCACTGCAGCAAATCTGCGTCAAAGCGGAGCCGGCACAAGAACCCGAAGGCCGCATGAACCATCAGGAAAGGGAGCAGCAGCAACAGCAGCAGCAGCGGCAGCAGGATATCTTGACTCCGCAGCAGCGGGGGGAACAAGTAGACCCCTTGCAGCAGCTGCTACTGCAGCTGCTTAGCCGGAAACAGCATCATCAGGAGCAAGGTGGGGTGAGCTCTACACTGTCACAGCAGCAGCAGCACGACCAGCCACAGCAGCGGCGTCGAAGTCAGCTGCAGCATGGGGACGACCATCACAAGGAGCAGCGAATGCAGCAGCTGCACCAGCTGCAACTACAGCACGAGCTGACAGATACGGAAGATGCGTCTGAGGATACCCTGCCACTGACACAGAGGCTGCAGGAGGCAGATGGAGGGCAGGCAGACGAGGGCAACGCATTGCTTTCTTACGAAGCTACTGTTGCTCCTGCTGCTGGTACACCTATCCTTGGGGCTGTTTTCCATGACTCTCCTGCTGCTGCTGCTGATGAAGTCAATTTTAACTTGCAGTCGCAGCTGTCCCACGGCGGTGGGAAAGAGCTGCGCCAGCAGCAGCACCAGCTGCAGCAACGTTCTGGCCCTGTATGGCGGCGCAAACGGCGTTCTACCCTGCGCTGATTGTTTCTTTTCTGTGTTTTTGTTTAGCTAAGCTTTGCATTGCATGGCTTTGTCGTTTTTTTATATTGTCTACTTGAATATTTTCTTTCTATATTTGCCCTTCCCGACATCGCTCGTCCTGCTGCTGCATCTTCGGGTTGCGATTTGGTTCGTCGCCGTTGCTGCTTGTCGCAGCATCCTGTCTGCTGCTGCACTGCATAACCTTTTAAAGAACAACAGCAGAAGCAGCAGTAGCAAGTCAGCGGCTTACGAGCAGCAGTAACATATCAACGGATACCTCAGGCAAAATCGACACCAGGCTACCTGCCTCAACACTCAATGCACATCTACAGACGGGCCTCCTTCAGCGACCCATACACATTGCATTGTAGATGCAACTTGAGCCGCATATACACCCAGGCGGCAAGTGTCCTTCTGGGTGCACAGACCATTGCTTAGGAAGTGTGTAGTAAAGTACTGGCTTGTCTGGAGTTACTGCGCGCGGTTTTGCGTGGGTGTCTCGTTGGTTGCAAGGGGCACGTTAGTAGTGCTGTTTAGCTATTGCCTATACCGGAGCTGCATGTATTTAGAGTGGGCTAGGGCTTGTGCTTGCAACTGTAGTCGTACTTGGAGAGCAGCTGCAGCGGCAAAGATGCAGCACCGCAAGACAGCAGCGACACCGTCGCCGCTGCAGCTTTGCCCCTCATTACATCACTAGCCCCGCGCCCTTTGCCGCTGTCGACTGAGAAGCGTAGGGGAGGGAGGGGTAACCCCAGAGGCTCTTTGTCTACTAAAAAACTAAACGTAAAGCGTTTGGAAGCGCAGTGCTTGTTCTACTACGAGCTGACAGAGGCCGCTATGCGGCTTGAAGGGGGACTTGGGGATAGAGTAGAAATAAGAAAAACGAATTATTTACACACTAGGGGAGATTAGGAAGGGACAGACAAAATGACAAAACAAGAGGGGCCTGAGACACTGAGGGAGCCCACTAGACGAAACCGAGCTGCCAAGACCGCACCCACAACTAGCAGGAGTTTATCGGCCGTATCCGTTTCCTATTTAATAATAATTTCTTTTTGGCCTTTTGTACAAACAGTCTGCCATTATGTTCTCCACACTGGCGATGCAGCATGCATCCCTCGCAGACTCGTGCTGGGGCCCCCAACGCTGCAGCCAGTGCACAACAGCAGCAACAACAGCTGGAGAGCACCTTTCAAAGAGCATAGCTCGCTCGCCGTCTTCGCTGAGTTGCCTCCACTGTTTGTTGCTTTCATTTTTTTTTTTCTTGCTGGCTGCTGTTTCTCGCTGAGACCCTCAATGCAGAAGACGTCGCCGTGCGGGAGGCTGCGGCTGCTGAGGTTTTGTTTTCTCTTGTGTTTATTTCAAACCATTTTGCGCTTGTAACTGTTTTTAGAACTGACGTGCAGAACGGAGAGAGAAGGAAGAGCTGAACCGGAGGAGAACGAGACAAAGACAATAGACGACCAAGGGAAAGAGAGACCAGATAGGAAGGACGTCGTGACACAACACCGGGCCAGCGGATGTGATAATAGATAGCAGTGGCTGCTGTGCTGTAACTGCTCCTTGTTGACCTACTCTGCTGGTGGTGGTGTTGCTGCTGCAGCTGCTGCTGCGGCGGGTGTTATCCATACTCTGGGAGAACCTCGCGTCCCGCTGTGAGCGCGGAGGCCACTGCTGGTGGTGTTCTTGTTGTTGCTGTTGATGCTGCTGCTGATGGAGATGCTGCATTCAGCTTGGGCTTCGGTGAAGGAGGGGATTGTAGACTTCCGCTCTCAGGAGGCGCTACAGCGTCTGCTGGTGTCTCTGTTTGTAGCAGGGACGTGCATAGGATTTGTCTTTGGGTTTGCGACGGAATCCTTCAGCAACAGCTGCTACATCTTGCTGGCCGTCGCTGCCGTTGCTTTTGTTGTATGCGTCCCCTCGTGGCCGCTGTATAAACAGCACACCATCCCCTACACCCCACACGACCCTGCCCGCATCGCCCGCTTATACGGGGACGAATATGTTGCTGCATGCGGTAGTGGTGCTGGTGCTTCTCAAGCGGTAGCTGCGTCTGAGGCAGCAACAGCCTCTGCTGCAAACCTTTCACTGAAGAAACACAGGAGCTTCAAGAAAAAATCCTAATCGCCGCGCTCCCTGCTTCCACGAGAAAACCTTAAATCCCAAACTCTTTTTATACACTAAATCATCTTCAACAGTGGCAAACTTTGGGGCCATACATCTTGATATGTGCTTCGAAACCGTAGACTGCAGCCACGAAATCCTAGAGCGGCCAGTCCGGTGTGACCGTTACTGGTGGTCATGGAGTCTCTCGTTCATATCTTTGTGTTCGTTCGTCTGTATTTGTTTATAAACCCCTTTTTCCATGGCACCTTCGGTCACTGTTTGTCTCTCTCCCCATCTCCCCGTCTCTCTGGTTGTCTATCATTTTTTGTCTGTCTGTACTGGTCTCTGTGTGCTAGTCTCTCGCGCTCTCTTTTGTCTCCATCTGTGTAACTGGCTGTTCGTTTGCATTTGCTTCCCTCTCGGCTTGTTTGTCTCGCCCTCTCTTTGGTTTTTGTGTTTGTTTACCTTTCTTTGTCCCTCTCTGCTTCGTTTGTTTTCATCTGCTTCTCTCTAACTTTCTTTGGCTCTGCTTACTTCTTTTTCTTTGTCATTGGGCTTTCCCTTCGTCTCTTTGTTTTCACCTTTTGTCTGTATCCATTCGTCCACGTTTACCTGCTTGCTTTTGTCTGTATGTACACCTTCCCATGCTTCTCACTCAGCTCCTCTGTTCTTTTTGCTCTGTTTTGCTGTTTGTCGGTCTGATTGTCCCTTTATCCTCTGTCTCTCCCATTGGCTACTCGCCATTGACTTCCCTGCATTGTTTGGGTGGCTTTTGGGGCTGTGCTGCTGTTGTTGTAAGAGCTGCTGCTGGTGCGGGGGGTGCAGCACCCTGCAGACATGCTGCACGCTGCCGGCCTGCAACACTCTGTAGTAAGTGGAGCAGCTGTAGTAAGTGGAGCAGCAACAGCAGCTGTTATCTGTCAGCAGCGGCAGCGGCTGCTGCTGGGGCGCCTTAGGCGCTTCTCTTGGCTTAAAGCCCAGCTATTGGAAACAGCCCAGAAACTTCTTCCTCCAGCACCATATTCACCCGAACCGATGCAGCAACAGCACCACTAATGTGAACAGCAACCGCAACTCATTTGTACAAACACAGCACTATGGGTTCGGCCCACTTCTAAAGTTCGGCGGTCCCGGGCTTGAAAGATATGCTAACTAGTATCTACCCGTCAGGCAAGTGAACTAGTTACCCAGCTAGCTAGCCAACTAGCTTGCGGCTAGCCCAGCCGTCCCGGGGTGTAGACCTCAACAGGCAGCTAGCGCTGGCCGCCTGCACCTGCAGCTCGCTGAGCAGTTGCGCTGGCGGTAGCCATCTGCCGCAGAGTCCTGAGCTAGCTGGCCTTGCAGGCGGCTGGCTGGCTAGAAGCTAGCGAACGCTGTGGGTGTTTGGGAGGGTAGGGAAATCTAAGCCATTCACGTCCGTAATTGGTTGGCTAGCTAACCAACTGTTGGCAAGTCTGGACTGCGCAGCGCACTGGCTGGCTAGGAGCGCCGGGCAGCAGGAATAGCTAGCTAGCTAGCCAGCTTCATCTGCAGTTTGGGGGCGACTCGCTTTGAAGCCTATTGACGCTGGGCTTCTGCAGCTCCGTTCGCTGCAGCCCAGCTAGCGCTACCCGACTCACGTTTCGCTGAGTCACCGGTGGGGGCCTTCACCTGGGAACTGAGAAGTGTGAGTGTGTCTGCCTCTGTTGAAGCTCTGAGCAGCAGATAGCTGCCGGACGGTTCCCGCCTTGTGCCTGCAGCGGGGAGCCGCAGAACTTGCAGCAGCAGTGGCTGCTGCTGCTGCTGCTACTTCTCGCCGCTGGCAAGCTGGCATGAGCATGCAGCTGGCTGAGTCTTCTGGGTAGAGTTCATCTTCTTCCGAAATCAGAGATGTGCCTCCAGACAAAGTGCCGCTCTCTCCCACCACTGCCGGACCAACTTCATCGTATGAATTCCCTGTGCGGGAAATTGCAGGCTGCCGCTGCCTTTGCTGCTGCCGCTGTTGGTGCTGCTGTTGTGCGCTTTCCCGTGTCGAATGGGATACTCTAAGGCAGCGTCCCTCTTGAGGCCCCCATCCGGCTGCTGCTGTTGCAGCTGCCACTTCAGCTGCAACGATTTGCTGCTGCGGAGCAGCACCAGCAGCAATATAGCCCCCCACGCCCGCTGCAGCCGCCTGAGGACCCCCTTCTGGTGATGATGCGGATGCTGTGCGTTGGTGCCTATGCTGCCGCTGTTGTTGCTGCAGTAGCAACAGCTGCTGCTGCTGCTGCTTGTTTGAGTAGGACATTTGTTGGTATTCACCTTCTGCAGCAGCAGCTCCAGCACCAGCAGTACTGTTGCTGTCTCCATCGAGGGTCACCAGGCCTCGGTCTCCTGTGAGACCCGTGTAATACACGGGAGCAAAAAAGGCGAGGGAGTTATCGTCGGCAGACCCTGCTGTTGCTGCTGCTGCTACTGCTTCGGAGGGAAAGACGGGAGGCGCTGCAGCTGACATGTGGACGGGCCGAGGCGGCTGCTGCTGCTGCGCTGCTTCTAGCAAGTATGGCATCGAGGTCCCCGCGTAGGCAGCTGTGGCATACAGTGCAGGAGGAGCGGTGGCTGTGTTGCTGTGATGTAGCAGTTGCTGCGGCGGGAGGGGTTTCCTGTAGGGATCCGCTGTAGCAGCAGCTGCGGCTGCTGCAGCGCTGCTGCCTGCAAGCGACTGGCCGTCTGGTTCTGCGCCTGAGAGGAAATCCCTGCCAATGTCGCTAGTTGTGGGCCCTGCTGCGTCTCCCTCTTGCTGCTGCTGAAGCTTTGCAGCCTTTTGCTGGCGGCGTCTTGCCCGCACCCACCAGAGGGCAAGGAGAGCCACCACAAAGACGAAGAGCAGCAGCAAACAGCTGAAAACCAGGAGTGTGTCGCTCACGGGCTTGGGCGGCTTCGGGGGCTCCTGCCGCAGCTCTCGCTGGCAATCGAGGGCGGCGCCTAGCAGTAAAGGCGGGACTTCAGCCAGACTTCGGATCACGCTTGCTCGTGATGCTCCTCCTCTTCCTGCTGATGCTCCTGCTGCTGCTGCCTTGAGTGCCCCTCCTGCTCCTGGTTCATCCCCGGGGTAGTCTCCATCGAGGAACACTTGATGGTCTCCTGCGGTTCCTGCGGCTCCTATTGCTGCTGCTGGAGGTGGTAGTGCTGCTTCTTCTTCTGTTTGCGAAGTGGATGTGATTGCTTCTGGCGCTGAGTCTAGACGTAGTTTGAGTTGCTGCACGAGGGCTTTTGCTGCTTCTCCTGAGGCGAACGCAGCCATCGGCAAGGGCTCCTTGGAGCCTAAGTCGAGCAGCTTGCCATCTTTGCATGCAGCGTAGATGAAGGGGTGCTGTTGTTGCTGCTGTTGCAGCTGCTGTTGTGGCTGGTGCTGTGTCTGCAATTGTTGGAGTTGCTTTTTTCTCTGAACTGCAGAGGAGATAAATCCACGAGCACATCCGACACGGAAGAGCTGCAGCGACACGCCAGCTTGCTGAAAGGTGGAGGCTAGGGCGTCTGCAACTTCTTGGCTGAGCGGCAGATTCTCTGGGGGTCCCCGGCTCTCCGTTGGCTGATGCGTGGTGGAGACACCATCGACCTTGAGGGAGGGAGGCAGCAGAGACAGCGCACCGCTGCAGGGGCTGGCCTCCAGCATTCTTGCGATGTCTTTCACGCACTGCAACTGTCTGCGGCTCCAGACACCATTGCTGCAGACCAAGGTTTCCGTCTTCGCTGCAGCAGCAGCAGCAGTTGCGCCGGCAGCCGTAGCAGCAACCGTTGCTGCTGGCACAAACCCCGAAGCGCAGTACACCACTCGCCTATCACCGTGCCCTTCCCCAACCCCGCTCGCTATAAAGGCCGGGCCCAATACCGACGGGTCAGCAGCTTCGTAGGGGCCACATGGCTTCCTGCACAACAGTATATCCATCACCCCAGCTTGCCCCCCTCCCCGTGCATCAGCGCCTCCTGCTTCTGCTGCTCCTCCTGAGGCTTCTGCGATGCCAGATGCAGCTGATGACAGAGGCGACCACCGACCCTGCTGACAAATCAGCTCTTGAGGGCTCCAGCCCGCAACCGCAGAATACCCTCTCCCGCATTCCACCTACAACAGCAGGAGCATCAGACGCAACGGCACAAGCATTAGTAGCAAGGGCAGCAGTAGCACGAGCAGCAATACGAGCAGTTAAGACCTCTCTGTTCTGTTCACAGTAAAGAAGAGTTTTGACAATGCTGCAGCACCAGCCGCAACGGCAGCAGCAGCGGCACCCGCACCACAGCCACCACCAGAAACAGCAGAAGGTGTAGGCGGAGGGGTAGCAGCAGCAAAGAGAGAACAGCAGCAGGAGAAAAAGAGGCGCCGGAGGTGACAGCCTCACTGTAATGACGGATCCGTGCTCGTTGGTGGCTGCAGTGGAGTGGAGTCGGTAGGCCTCGAAGACAGACACATTTTCAGGAGCGCTGAGTCCCTCGTTGGTACTGCAGGAGACATCACGCGCTTCTATACGGCCCAGACCCCAGGTCCCCTTTTCAGGCCGCAGCAAGTCGTGCTGCTGCTGCCGCCTACTGCTGCTGCCGCTGCTGCCAGGTGAAGCATAGGCAACTGGCTTTATGGAGACAGTTGACGGAGGGACAAACACGGGAGATAAAGAAAAGGAAGCTGCAGGAAGGAGCAGCGGGATAGGATGCAGTAGCAGAGGCTCCAATACTTTCTGCTGATGCTGTTGTGGCAGACCCGCACTCTCTGCTGCACCAGCACCCGCTTGCTGCCGCTGCAGCTCACGAGACAGCACAGCGGCCAGGCCGGAGGTATCATCCTTCCGGAGTCTGTCCACAGCCTGAGAAGCAGTAGCAGCATCATCATGAACAACAGCAACAACAACAGCAGCAAAAACAACAACAGCGTCGCCGGCTTGCGGATATTGCGTTGTTAAGTGCATGCAGGCACAGGAGCCCTTTTATCCTTCTTCGCACTCTCTGCCTTGGTTTGTCTGCCACTTCATTTGCTTGTTCCCATCGGCTGGTTTACGGCTTATGGTGTAGAATTGAGGGCTTAGAGTCTAGGGTTTAGGGTTTAGGGTTTGCCTGGAGGAAGTGGGGTTTGTTACTGAGGGGCCCGGCGTCGACCAAAGCGTGCAGGTCTCCAGACTTCCAGGTTCTGATCAGCAGCACATCCCCCACTGGCAACCCCAAAGCAGCGGCAAATGCATCGCGCAGCACATGGCGCAGCAACTCCTCCCCTTCATCATTCCTGCTACTGCTGCTGCTGCTGCTGCTGGCTAGGGCTTCGTAGTTTAGGCCTTCTATCCTAGCATCCACTGCAAAGACGGAGCGGTTGAGGCCTCGAGAGCAGGTTCGGTCTAATGGCATCTGCCGACAGGAAACATACAAACAGACCGACCAAACATACAAGAACAAAAACAAAGAGTGAAAGACAGGCAAACAGACATAGACAGATAAAGACCAGGCTACAGATGCAGAGAGGACAAAACAGTGAGATGCCGACCGCGGCAAAGATAACACCAGCAGAAGCAACTGCAGCCCCAACTGAAGCAGCAACTGTTGCAGAAACTGCAGCATCAATTGCAGCAGGAGCTGTAGCGGCAAATACATTTCGCGTTGGATACAGCAACAGCAGCAACCGACTCGGATGACCTTGCAATCTGCCTCTATGAAGGCGAGAGAACGATATAATTCAAAGGGTCCCGAGGCCCCCTCTAGTTCCTCCCAAAGCGATTGGACGAAGAACAACAGCTGTGGGGTTACGGCTTCCGGCGCCTGCTTCTGTAGCAGCACGAGCTGCTGTCGCTGCTGCTGCTGCTGCTGCTGGTCTATGTAAAGCAAGTCCCGCAGCAACTCCAGCTGCGGGCCGACGCAGCAGCCGTTCTGTTTCTGCAGCTCTGAGCAGTAGCCACAGGCACAGTCCAGCAGTAGATGGAAAGGACTACTAAAGGAAGAGAGACGCGGAGATACGAAGAAAGAAAGAAGAGAAAGAAAGACAGAAACAAACAAAGAAAGAAAGAAGGAAACAAGTGAGGAAAGAAAGAAAGAAAAAAAGAAAGAAAGAAAAGAGCGAAGAGACCGAGGAGCAGAGCAGTACCGAATGTTCCAATTAAATAATAGAGAAGCAACGAAAGAAACAAGCAAATAAAAGCAAAGGGAAGCACAGGTTCGGTGCCAAAACGAAAAGGGAAGAAACAAAGAATGGAAAACAAAGGAAACCCATAATGGGCACTGTGCCATCGCTGGAAGAGTGTCCTTATGCAGACAAACCTGCAGCAAGAATACCAGCTGCACCTGCAGCAGCAAACGCACTAGCCGCTGTACCAGCAGGGGGAGCAGCAGCAGCAAACCCACGAGCCATAGTTCCAGCAGCAGCAGTGTGAGGAGCCAGAGCATGAGAGGGAAAAACAGCAAAAGCGAAAGCAACAGCAGCAGCAGCAAGAGCAATGCGAGCTGACTGTGTATTGCGTCTCTGCATTCATGTTGGCTGCAGTGGAAGTGGAGGCTGAAGGGAAAGCACGGCCCTTCTTCAAGTCCTGGCAGCTGCTGCTGCAGCAGCTCGAGGATGGGCAGCAGCAGCGGTTGCCGCTGAGCCAAGCAGTCTCCTTTGTCGAAGCCACAGGCTGCAGTGTTGCAGATGTTGTCGCACTCGCCGTCCCCCACAAATGCAATCGGGCAGCGGCAGAAAGGCAAGTCTGCTGCTGCTACTGGTTCATAATCGCGCAAACGACCTGCTGCTGCTGCTGCCGCTGCTGCTGCTGTCGCTTCCTGTGGCACCAGCAGCGCCCCGCACGTCTTGTCCTCTGCACTGCGCAAACAAAAGTTCCTCCCAATGCTCTCCATTGCCGTGCCCAGAGCCCAGTCGTGTGGATGCACCTGCTGCTGTAGCAGGTGCTGCTGCCACTGCTGCTGCTGCTGGGTATCGGGCTGTGGATGTGGGCGCAGCAGTTCCTTGCCGACGAGTCTGTACACCTCTAAAAGGCAAGGTGCTTCGGAGGCGCTGCTACAAAATTCTGCTGCTGCTGCTTGCTGGGGTAAAGCAGAAAATGGGTCTGCTGCAGCAATAGCAAAAACTTGAATGGCGCAGCTACGCCCGTCAGCTTCACTGCATAGCAGCGACAGCACTGCAGGCAGCCGCCGCAGATCTGTCAGCAGACCTCGCACCCCTACACCCACCGAACTGTCGTCTAAGCCCTTCGCTGCTGTTCCTGCTGCAGAGGGCCGCTGCTGCGGCTGCTGCGGCTGCTGCGGCTGCGTGCCCGGAAGAGCAACATCGATGTATTCTCTAAGCTGCAACAGCACTGAGATGTACCGAATGTTGCTGCTGAAACAGGCGCTGCCGCTGCTGCCTGGACATACCTGTTGCTGTAGCTGCTGCTGTAGCTGCTGCTTCGGTGTCCGATGCAGCCGCTGCAGAAGCGCAAAGGCTTCTCCGGCAAGGCTGAAGCAATGCTGCGAACCTTGCACAGAGCAGAGGACCTCCAGAAGCTCCGTAAAGAGCTGCAGCAAATGCTGATCAGCGGCAGCCACCGCACTCGGGCCGTCACTCGCTGCAGTCGCAGTCGCAGCCGCAGTTTTGCGGCTGCATTCTGTAGCCTCCTGCAACTCCTTCCTGAAGTTGCTGCTGCATGTCCCCTTGCAAAACGAAGCGACTTTAAAGGCGGATTGCCCGAAGGCTAAAGCACCACACTCCCCAACAAGAAGCCGCGACACCCCCGCAATGAGTTCACGCATGCACGGGCTCAAACGCTGATGCTGCTGCTGCTGAGCAGTTGTGCCTTCCGGTTGGAGAAGACGCAGCAACGGCGGCCCGAAGCGGAGAAGGCCCTCCTCGCGCCACTGCAGGGGAGGGTTCTGCCCGTGAGCTGATGCTGGTGCTGCTGCTCCCGACAGCAGCAAATCCTCGTCTCCCAAAAGTTCTGCTGCTGCCGTAGCGGCGCTGATGGCCCGGGGAGCTGCTGCTGCTGTCATGCTGCTGCTGCTGCTGCTTGCTGCCGAAGCCGTGAGGTCTGCCTGTACGCATGCTACAGCAAAGGCAGATATGTTTGACGCATCTTCAGCTGCAGCAGCTAGTGCTGTAGTTGCTGCAGCTGCCCCGGTCGTCCATGTACCGTTGTTGCAAGTGACACTTAAAGACAGTGAATGACTGCTGCTGCATGTGATATTGATTGTTGAACCGTGTCGCGTCATTTCCACAGGGAACTCCACCTGCTGCTGCTGTTGCTGCTGCTGCTGCTTTAGCGACGTGGAGTACAGCTTTGGCTGCAGAACGAATTGCTTTAGAGGCACAGGGCTGCAACTGCTGCATGGCTCACAGAATGGCCCCCCACAGTCAACTCCCTCTTCGTGTTTTTCCTGCTTGCCATTATAACAGCTGCCGCAGCTGCTGCTACAAGCCTCCCCGCACTGAACCCCCCACTCCCTCCACCTGGCCTCGGGCAGGCCACCTGGGCCTGCTGGGCACGGCCGCACGCAGATATCGTCTTTCAGGTGGCCCTTCCACTCCCCGTCCACGCACTGGAGCTGCTGCAACTGCTGTTGCAGCAGCTCCTGGTGCCGCTGCTGCGGCGGCGGCGAAGACGGCAACGGCAACGTGGGCTGAAATGGAGGGGAGCACTTAATCGTTAGCCTCTCGTTTTCGTTCCACACAGAGGCTAACAAGCCCCCGGGTCTTCGCGTCTTCCTCGGGCTGACAACCAAAAAATGTGACATCAGAGGAGGCAGGCTGCAGGTGGCGCTGCAGCGCAGCAGCACACCATTGCTGCTGCCAGCGACTGTGGTGGCTGCTGCCTTCTTCTCAGCATCGTGTTGCTGCTGCTGCTGTCTGTGATTGTACGGCATCGACTCCCACCGTCCATCTACGCAGGTTATGGCATGCGGTTGTCGCGTTTTTGCAGCAGCTGCTGCTGGTCGCCTGCGTTGTTGCAACTCCTCACTGCATGTAATATCCACGGTGTCTCCGTGTTGGAATAGCTGCCGTTGCTGTTGCTGTTGCTGGACAAGAGCGTAGTGTCTGCCCAGCTCTTCTAATGGGTTAGTGCAGCCCGCAGCGCATGAAATCGACCGCAGCCCCCACATGCCCCCTCGACAGCGCAGAATTTCTTCTGCGGGTCCTCCGAGGAGGACGCTATTGGGTGCACAAGTAACGCTGACTGCTGCTGCTGCTGCTACTTCTGCTCCTCCTCCTGCTGCTTCCGCGGAGACTGCTGCAACAGGTGTCACTGTGTAGGCTCGTGGGTTGAGCAGCAGCGGAGGACACAAAGGACTACAAACAAACGCTGCTGCGCCCCCCATAGACCTGTCGCGGACCCACTGGCCGTCATCGCAGGTAAAGTCCATAGAAAAGACCCCGTTAGGGCCCCCGTAGCCTGCGGCGCAGCAGCCACAGCAGCAACAGCTAGAGCAGGGCAAGGTGTGACTGCAGCAGCAACCTCACCCAGAGCAACAACAACATCACAGCAGTCAGTGTCTCCGCAGCAGCAACAGGAACAGAGCCTTCTGCAGCCGCGACAGCGACCGCCGCACTAGCCCACGGAATCAGCAGCAGCAGACCCAACACAACCAGGCACAGCAGCCATTACTCTACCAGCACCAAACAAAACAGCAACGACAGAAGCAACAGGCATTTTGGCAGCAACAGCATAGCCACAATAGCAGCACCAATAAGAGCGACCCCGGAAAAATTAGAGGGTAAAGTAATAACACTCATCGTCCGCGTAGAAGCTCCACAAACCAAAGCAGCATAAGCAACAGCAGAAAGAGCAACAGTGCCTGTTGTAACAGAAACAGCAACAGCAAGAACGATGGCAGCAGCAGCAGGAGAAACCGCAGCGGACCCTGTTTGCACTGTGCTGTCCATACGCTACCGTGGTGCATTCCCTCTCCTTGGAGCTCCGCTCCCTCTGGGGTTAACGGCGGCTGCCGGCAGCTGCGTTTGCAGCTGAGGGTAACAGGCGGCTCCCAGCCAGCTTCGGTGCAGCGCAGCAACTGCAGCAGCGGCTGCTGCTCCTGCTCGTGCTGCTCGCGGGACGAAGTCTGTGGCTCGGCGCACTCGACGAGTCGTTCTTCTCCCTCTGCTGCTGCTGCGTCTGCTGCAGCTTCTTCTTGCTCTTCTTCCTCGTCTGCATGAATGCTTGGCGGCAGCCGCACTAAATAGGCGGGTCCCAACGAAGGCCCCAGAGGAGGACACATCGTTGCACAGTGGAGTGTCAGGGGTTCCCAGCGTCCGCCAATACACCTCAGCGTTTGTTGGTGTTGCCCGCCGTTGCTGCCTGCCGTTGTTGCTGTTGTCGCTGCTGCAGTGTCCGCACACCGGACGACTACAGCAGCCCCCGAAATGCCTTCGGCTGCTTCGTGCGTCTCCTCAACATCGTACGCGTCAGCCAGGCGGGGGTAAGGGCTGCAGCGGGGAACGCAAGGGGAAAGGGCGCCCGTCCACTTGCCTCTGACACACTGTAGGTCTCCAGCATTACTGCTGCTGCCTGTTTCGAGCATGATATCAAGAGGGAGTGAGAGGCCTGCGCTGCAGTGAACAGCAGCACGGGTACCTTCAGGCACTTGACGGCCTTGAATCTCCCCAGCTGCCGTGCTGCCCGCGAGTTGCAGCTCGTAGGCTGTTTCATTGGCTGCTGCTGCTTGAGCCTCGGGACCGTCCGGCTCTGCTGCTGCAGCTGCTGCTGCTGCTGCTTCTGCGCCGACCTTGAGCAGGCAGTGAGTGGCAGCGGCCTCGAAGAGCACAGTTTGGGGGCCCAGAGGCCCCCAAGGGTTGTAGGATAGGTCTGTGAAGGCCCCCAGGTCGGCTGTGAGTTCATAAATTTGGCCCGCATCCAGAGGGACGTCGACATCGAGCTCTGCCACCCCCAGTTCCTCTTCGTCTGGTTTGAGGTTACCTGCAAGGTGGTTGCTACTGCTGCTGCTGTCTGTGGAGGCCGGGGAGGTCCTGCTTGAAATACCTCCAGCAGCTCCTGGTGTTTGGGGCTGCATGCGTCGCACCCTGAGAGATCCGCCGCGCAAGCCGGCCTCTTGGTCTGCAGGCCACTCGGCGACAGGCGTCCTTTGCCCCCTCGGGGTGAGGCGGAGGGAAGCCCAGTGACCGTAGGTGACTGGTTTGTTGAATATGAGGACAAGAGGCTCCGATGGCAGCCCCGACGCGCTGTCGAGCTGCAGCAGGTGGGGGCCCTGAGCCACGCTGTCTGCAGAGTCGCTCTTTTGCGGTGCAGGTGCCTCAGAGTAGGGCGGGCCGACGGCAACGAGGGAAGGAGGCAGGTGGTCAGGGGTTTGCCTGCAGAGGAAGACAGCAAATGGTTGCTCCTCTCTCTTCTTCCCAGTCCACTTGTGCCAGAGGCCCGAGGGAGGCAGCGGGGGTCCATCCCCCCTGGACCTGCGGGGCGGGCCCTGCAGCAGTGCGATGTCTGCAAACCCCAAGAAGGCACTCTCGTCGAGGTCGGTGTCTACTACCCAGTTGCCAGGCTCCTGAGCTGTCTCCTGGCGATAGTAAATGAAGAAGACGTTCCCCTCTCCCCCGCGCCAAGCAGCATGTCCGTTGACAGGGTCGATTGGGGTGTAGAGACCGTTACAGTTGCCATTTTCCGTGCCAAACCCAGTCACATACAGCAGAGGACAGCCCCCATCTTTAGCGATTCGAAAAGAAAGTGGCCCCACTCCTTCGCAGGGGTTCCCTGTGAGGTCGATGACAAAACCGAACTCCAGACTGACGGTGTAGTTCCCTTGAGGCAGCGATGTCAGCTCTTCATCTGGCGTCACCATCAGCATCTGCCCTTGTCTCTCCAGCAGCCATTTGCTCGTTCCCGTACTCTCTTCCTGCCTCTCCGCTGCCCCTCCTACTCCTGCAGCTCCAGCTGCTGCACCTGCAAGGTGGGGCTGCTGCAGCGGGCGCCTATGGGCCCGAGGGAAGAGCGGGGGGGTGTAACGCAGGACGCTGAGGTCCGTAGCGCCTTCTGGAAGCGTAATAACCCACTTTATGCTGGGTTCGAGGCACTGGACGACGATGGAAGAGCCGGGCCTCCCGAAAAGAATGTCTTCGTTGAAGTGCAGCTGTAGGTGCTTTACCGGTGGTATCGAGGTGGAGTTGGGAGCGGGATCAGCGGCAAGCAGAGAAGGAGGCAGCGCGTCTGTCACACACTCGCCTTTGGCGCAGAGAGCGTGAATGGGGCAGTCGCTGTGGACGACACATTCTACAGAATTTAACAACCCCAGCTCCACGCCGAAGTCCTCAGGGGCGTCGCAGTTGTCCCCGCTGCACCCGCACAGCCGGTGCGTCCTGCAACAGCACAAGAACAGCAGCAGCAGCAGCACAGCACAATGGAAACACACACCCTGAACAGACACTTCCTAGCGCAAAGACAAACGTGCAGTGACACTCCCAAATATTTACAGTCCAACCACCAGCAAGTGCACCAGCAGCTATAGTAGCACACGGATCCCGGAACAGCAGCTGAGGGCCACAGCACCAGGACCCGTTTGACTATTTAAAAAAGCGGGGGTACTTGTGCATATTGCTTTTGTTGGAGGGGTAGGGGGGTGGGGGTGGTGTTGGCGGGGGAGATGGTTGTGTTGAGTACCCTAAGAAATGGTTGACGCCAAGGTGTACATCACACTTTCCATCTCCGTCGACATCTGCCACGCAGGGCATGGCGGACTCAGGGAGGAAGTTGGGGTCGAGTGCTGCTTCGGGACCGCATCTGAGATGTGCTGCGATGGGAATGACTTTGAGGGCCTCTGTGACGCCGCGGGCTGCAACATTTTCTAAAGTACATTCTTGGTTGCGGATGCATGCAAAGGCGTTGAGGCTGGCCGCAGCTGCAGTGACTAGGAAGCCAGCGCAGTGGTCTTTGATGCAGTAGGCGAGCTGTCTGTCTGCACAGTGAGCATTGGTTATGCACTCCTGCACTGAGACGCGGCCCACAGGCACAGGGAAATCCCTCATGTGGTTGCAAGGCCTCCCGTCGCCGTTCAGATCCAGCCCCGGGCAACCGCACAGCCGCACCCCCTCCACGGTGTTCGCGCGGCTTAGGCGCCGCCCCACTCCGAAGCGCAACTCGCAGGAACCAGACACCGTAGAGGAGCACACCCACTTGTTTACGTTGTTGAATATAGAACCTTGCAAACACAAACCCCACACACAACAGCCGCACACAAGGTGTTCTACAGCGCCTACTGCCACGTAAGCCTCCGATGTCACGCTCTGCCAATTCATACGTGCAGATTACAGGACAATATTTACAATAGTAGAGGCGTATGCATATATACATAGACATGTGCGTGTACAACTTGTGCAGGGTCGTACGTATATTCGTCCACATGTACATATCACACTTCCCATAATATAACATATTCGCATTTCTGAACGTGGACACCTACACGCTGGTTCGAAGAGACATGGCAGAGCCCACTACAACGGGACGAATCGGAGAGGGGCACGCAGATGGAGGCACAGGCAGAGCAGCAATACGAGCAGCGGAGGACAGAAACAAAAACAACGGAAACAACAGGGGCAACCGCAATACCAACAGCGGAAGCAACGGCAACAGGAACAGTAGAAGCATCAGCAACAGTAGAATAAAATGTGAAGGCAAAACAAGCTGCACCAGCGGCAGTACCAAGCGCAGCAGCATCAACAGCAGGAACAGCAACAGCAACGGCACAATTTTTAAGTCGAACGGAGAGTGCCATGATAGTGTGGACGTGCACACAGACAAAGCGACGGATGTCCCTCGCTGTGTCTACTGTGTGCGTTGTATCCATGCATGCATTAGTACTATTGAATGTATCTTTGGGTTGGTCTTCCTTGGTTTCTCACTGTCCGGTTTGAGGTTGACTGCAGTTCCGCACTCTTCTTGGGGGCCGATGGCGATAACTGTGAAGTTCTGTTTGTTGCCAACTGTAGGAATGTCGCCCTTCTCTGCATCGCAGTGGTATCCCTCCACGCACCGCAAGAGGCGCTGCCCCTTCAGGTCAGGCACAAACCCGTGGCAGCGGCCTCCTGCGCACTGCCCCAAGCCCCTCAGGCAGTCGCTGTGCTGCCGACACTCCCCTCCGTCCCCGCCGTCCTCTTCTCCCTCTGCCTTTGGCAAATTGGCTGCGCGCTCTTCTATAAACTGGAGACGCCGCTGCTCCACATTAGAGACAAAGTCTCCCTCCGCCTCCTCCTGCTGCGCTTGCCTCTGCGCAGGCTGTTGCGGAGCCTTGTCATCTTTCTTCGCCACCTGCTGCTCTTCCTGCTGCTTGCCTTGCAGCTGCTTCGGCTGCTCCTCCGGCTGCCGCTCTGGGTGCAGCTCCGGCTCCTGGTCGTGCTGAAGATGCAGCTGCTGCTGAGCTGCCTCAGGCTGTCGAGTCTCTGAAACTGTCTGTTGCCGCTGCAGCTCAGGTTCAGCGCGCAGCTGCAGCAAACCGACTGGCGTAGACCCCAGGCACTGAAGGGGAGTAGAGCCTCTTCGGCACCCGCATAGCGTCACAATCACCTCAGGGACCTCCCCAAAACTCCTTACACCTTTTGTTGCAACAGCTGGTGCTGATGCTGTTGTTTGTCGGGTGGCCTGTGTGTCTTCTGCTGCTTTTGCCTTTGCTGCTGGTGCAACATTGACGAATTTGGGGAGCAGCAACACCCTCATCTCCTCAGGGCGAACGCGAACGACGCAGCGACTGCCTCCGCCGACAGACGTGCAAGGTAAACGCAAAGGAGTTAAGGTCTGCGAGTCAGAGGCACCCAACCTGCCATATCTGACCTCCGCCGCAGCATTCGCAGCAGCAGCAGCAAAGCTAGCACCAGCAACAACGGCAGCAGCAGCAGCAGCAGCAACAGCACCAGCTTCAGCTGCAGTAACCCCAGCACCACAAGCCAACACCAGGAGCAGAGGCAACAGCACCAGGGGCAACAACACCTGCATCATCGCCAGCAGCAGCAGCTCCAGCAGCAGTAACGCCATCAGTAGCAGTAACAGGGTAAGAAGCTTGCCTTGGCAGCCTCAACGCAACTCGCGTGAAGCCCGTCGAATGCCCTGACAAAATGCAACGTTGAGTTGAGACCGACCCCCTTGATAGTCGGCAGCTCACAGGGGAGACCCGCAGTGCAGATAAAGCGGGGTAGCAGCAGCTGCTGTCTACCCCTATAGGCAGGAACAGCCTGCAGAGGCTCCGTGTCGTCGATAGTGTCTGATTGGCCTGCTCCTGTAACTCGGTTTGGCTCGACGTCTTCTGATGCTGCTGCCCCATTTTTGGCAATAGCTTTCGCCGTGCCTGCGGGTTCAACATCAGCAGCTGCTGCAGATGCTTCTTTTGCTGCAGCATGAGTGAATTCAGCAGCAGCAGGAGAACCAGCACGAGCATCAAGGGGAGCCACAGAAACAGCAACAGGAGCCTCAAAACCCGTGATCTTGAGCGTCCCAATGGGCACTGAAAAGTCGATGACGGAGCTGCAGGGCCTTCCCTTTGAGCGCAAGTCGGTGCTGCTGCAGCCGCACAAAGCGTATAGACCAACGGGTAGGTCAGGGGGCACAAGCCCCAGGCTGGCAGTGCAGCTGGACTGCGAGGTTATTCCTGGGGTGTAGGTACACCTAACGGCCTTCCCCAAAGAGAGAGTTTCCCCATTTTCCTCTGCTGCTTGATTACTGTGCTGTTCCTGGTGAGCGGCTGGCATCAGTTCGCAGGCCTGGGAATCCCCGCAGGTTGTGTGCTGTTGTGGGGGAAGGGCCCTTAGCTGGCCACAGTCCCAGGGAGCCCCGCGAATAACCTGCAACAGGAAGAGGCCCATGTTGCCTTTGCCTCCCTCTCCATAGAAGTGGCCGTTTATGGACCCCAAGTTACAGACGGTCTCGACCCCACATTCAAATACGGTTCGCCTGGGGCCTGCGAAGCCCCAGCAGCGCCCATCAATGCACCGCCGCCCTCGGCCCCAGCACTGAGCATCCGAAAGACACGCATTTAAGCTCAGCAGTCGTTTAGAAGTGCCTACGTAATAACCAGAAGACTGCAGAGAACCACGTGGGTCGGGGCCCTGCAAGGCAAAAACCGGGGAGGAGGTTGAAACGGAAGGGGGTGAGGAGGCGTAAGACTGAGTCGGGGCCAAAGGCGAGCTACTTGCGCTAGATACTGGTATATTTAAACACAAAATACAGACAGCAGAGGACAGCAGTACACACAAAAGCACACATCTGTCCCGCTGGGACCCCATGGGGAGACACCAGATCGGGGCCCTCTTCATGGTGATAGCCACATAGCCGTATAGTTTGCCTGCACAGCGACATCCACAGTTACACCAACAAAGCAGACGGTTGCCAGATCATCTGTATCCCTGCAAGTGTGGAGGAATTCTCTTCTCTGGGGAAGACCGGTCGAGGGCTACTACGAGTAGAAACCGGCGCAATACCCACGATCCCTGCTGACCGTGCAGTCGTTAGTTTTGTAGTTTCTTCCCCCTCTTCCAAAGGCCAGTGCCCCTCTGCAGCCCTGTACACATACCGCAGGAAGGCCAGCGGTGCGAGCAGGGCAGTCGGCTAAAGGCAGTAGCGAGAGGAACCCAACTATGCGTGGCATCCACACAGGGGCCAATAAGATGGGAGTCCTAAGGGTTAAAAATATGTTAGCTAGAGGCTACAACAAACTAGATTGTACTTTCTCGTGGATTTCGTGAAACAGTCACCACCGTGCGGGCTGTCGCAGTGGTCCTTGGTGGTGAGTGACTCTCCCGCGCCGAGACGGTGACTAGGGCCGAAGGTGGAACCAGTACGAAGCTTCTAGATCGGAACAGGATTGTTTTAGCATAAAAACTGAAGGATTTCTTTATTGCGGCCTGGTTTGTTGGGGAAGGGAGGGATGTATGCGGCTAGACACCTGAAATAGTTGGGCCTGATTGATGCAATTGCGCCAGGGGCTGCGGAATACCACCTGAAATGGCTTATCCTCTTGAAATTGTACCACAAACCAAAAAAAATCAAAGACAGGAAAAGTTTCGTCCGGAACGGAGACAAAACAAATGCGTTCTGCGCCGCCTCCCCCCCATGTAGAACCCAGCCACACACCGGCGTGGGGTAACAGACAGGCAGGCGGCAGGATGGTCTGTGCTGATTGCTCCCCAGCATAATTACCAGGATTTGCCTCCCTGCAGTCAAACGCAAACAAAGCCAACAGTAAGTAACAACCTCCGAGACAAGCCCTAAGCGACGAAAGCTCAGAACCGTTCGTTTCTAGGTGTCACCCGCTCTGTACGAGTTCGTTTTTCGGCTTCGTGAGGCCTTACGGAGAAATTGTCGCCTTTTTATGTTGTCAATGATATTGTTATTAAATTTCAAAAGGAAGACAGGTGAAATTTACTCTGCTCTATCAGTTCCCCCTCGAACGGTTATTCAACCATTGTAATATGTACTGCAACCGTTAGAAATGCATATTGTGGCCGAATGCACTGAAGCGGGATAAATGTGTCTGCTTTCTTTCCCGTATACAAACATTGTCGGGTTCCAAAAGGTGTTTGGTTTCGGTGTCTCTGAATCGGAAGCCCGCGGATTCACCTGAAAGTGGACCCGACGAGAATTTGTTGGAAGGCGAGGGGCACTTTTCCTGAGAGTAAGGACGAACCTTTCGTTTATACCTTTAAATTTCAGGTGGTCACACCGGCGTATTCTTCTGTCGCTGAAGAGGTTGGAAGCCGCGCAGCAAAGGCTTCACGCTTGCTCCCTCGCCGGCGTGCTCTTCACGAGACGTGCACGTTGTTTTCACGAACCATGGGCTTCCAAAGCTGCTCTGCAGCAAGAAAGCACAGGCGAGACAGGAGGCTGTCAGCCGTAGGTAAGCGCATGGCCTACGCCCCAGCAACAGCGAAGGTCGCCACGTCGAATTGGCGGGTTTGGGTGCCGTTTCTCAGGCGGTTCCTCTCTGTGAAGGGCCGCAACAGCCGATTGAGAGCCACTTTGGAAATTCCATGTGTCCCCCAGTGGCGCACGAGGCCGAGCATCCCGGGAGCATGAGGCACTGAAAAGAACCAGCAAGCGACCAAAAGTGTCGGCAAATGCACACATAGGAGTCAGGAAACGTAGAAATGAGCTGCAGATGTACCTATTGGGCTGCAGTATTTCGCAAGCTAACCGAAGCAAGCAACTGGACCAGTGGGAGACCAGTGGACAATGTACAGGAAGCTGCTGATGCTCAAATCATTTTTTTGCTGCCTCAGCTGCAGCAATGTGGAGATTGAAAATGGGAATGTCGCCACATCTCAGAAGCGGTGTCACCATTGACGAGGGAACTCAATGGTACTGCTATGAGAGAGGCTCTTTCCTGGCTCAGTCATTTGCAGGAAGAGGTGTACCAGCTGAAGCGCGTGCATCACGCGAAGCAGGAACAGCACAACAGTAATAGTGTCAACAGCAACAGCTGCTGCGTCGACAACAGGCGGTTATGCGGTGGTTGCAGGTGAACTATCCTCACGGGAATCTGACCTCCAACCAGAGCCGATCAGTTGCAGAGACCCAAGTGGGCGGAAAAAAAGGAATATTTATATGAGATTGCTCCTTCAGGTGTGCGAAAAAATGCGGGACATGGTTTTTACTCGTGTATGTGTGTGACCTCCAGCGAGCATGCCGCTGAGGAGCATCGGCATATGAAACAGGCAGATAGGAGAAACGTATAGCCACTCGGCTAATTAAATATTCTAATCTGAATTTTAAGCATACTTTCTTCAGAAACTGGAACGGCTGCTGCGGCTGCAGGGGCGGTACTAGCTTGAGCTGAAAGGACTCTGACGAAGAGGCACAGGCCAATGGCAAACATCCTTCCTAGGGGCCCGCTCTCTCCAGCTAGAAGACTGTTACTCTCTCCCTAAAATTAGGGTTTTAGCTTTAGGTGTAACTAGAAGTCACTCCACGGTGAAATGCCTTGACCGCCGCGATTCATCTAACCCGCAACGGCGGCAGGCCGTGGGGTGCGAGCACCGCTCGCAGAGCACCAAATCCAAAAGACCCATTTAGCCTCCCTTGCCTCCAAATAATGACAAGCTTAAGCACATGGTAAACAATTCTAATGTTAAGTTTGGGGGCGGGGAATAACGAGGGCCATTTGTTGGGCCAGAAGCCCCGGCTGTGAGAAGTCGTCGAGGTGACCTCCTACTCCTCGGCGTCGACACTGTGGAGGTTTGTGCTTCTTCAGGCTCTCATGCAACAGTATTCTGACGTGATTTTAAGCATTGTACTACTCGTGTTGTTGGTGCGTTTTCGAGAATGTCGGACCCGGTGATCTCCAGGGCGGTGCTGAACCGACTGCAGTCCCCTAGCGAACTCGCGTTCGCTCAGCGCATTTTGCAGCGTGTTGCCTCAGCTGCTGAGCTCCCCGAAGTCGCAGCAGCTATGGCGCGAGACACCAATCACAATCCTGCCAGCGCCTCCCACTCCCCGGCCCGCGATGCGTTCCTGGAGGCCGCTGCGCTGTCAAGCCCTGGGGCCCGCTATGCACGGGCAAGCGAGGCATTGGTGCGTTCCTTGCCGGTTCATCTCAACGAAGAAGCTGCGGCAGCAGCGCGCTCGCTAAGGGATCTGCGCTGTGAGTTCAAGCGCTTCAGCACTCTCTACTCTGACGGTCACTTGCTCCCCTTGTCAGTGTTCGTCGCTGCACTGCAGCTGCAGCCCTCCGAAGAACTCCAGCGCCGCCATTTCTCCTTTAGCGCCGAGTTAAAACTCCTAAGAAACGAAATGCTCAAAGAATACCTCCGCATCAAACGAGCGATCGTCCTGCAGCCGCGCTTCGCAGCAACAGGCCCCATTAGAGGGCCGTCTAGTTACACCAACGAGAACAACAGAAGCGCAAACTCCAATAGAGTAACAGCCCTTTCCAGATTCTCCTGGGAAGCCAAGTTGTGTCAGGTGCTTGCGCACCTTTCAGAATGAATGCTAAACCAGTTACCTCCCTTTCTATTACACAGAGCAGCAGCCGGGAAGCAGCGATGCTACTCGAAACTAACCCCAAAGCAAGCACATCTCAAAATAATGCTACTTCTACAGCAGCACGCACCGCCCTTGAATTCGATGCATTTTCTTCTGCTGCAGCTGCAACTACAGCTGCTGCCACTGTTCTTGCCAAAGATGCACTTGTTGGGGGTTTGTGAGCAGCGGAGCTGCTTAGTTGCTCGTTGGGAGGCGTTTGAGCGTCGGTGGTTGCAAGAGAGGGAGAGTCATGCGGTGGTGGCGCTTCAGCCGCTAGTGTCTGCTATCGCTGCAGCGGAGGCAGTGCTGAAGAGCAGCAAGCAGCAGCTTGTGCTCCCGGAACCTTCGGCTTCCAAGCAACGCGTGTGCACCTACAGAGCCCTGCGGGCCTTCTGCAGCAGCATCACCGCGTTAGCCCGTGACCTGCTTCCTGTCGACTCTAGCTGCCTTTTCCTCGAGGCGAGCACTCTTGTGTTGGCTGCTGCCATTGCAGAAGCAGCAGCTCGAGCTGCAGCGGAGAGGGCCATGGAGAGGCGCAGTCCCCATATGGCTAACAGCGGGCCCCATGCTCACAGACATGTGCGTGCCACAGCCGAAACAAGAGTCCCACGAAAACCCAGTGCCGCCTTTTGTTGCACCAGCCAGCGCCGCTGCCTCTACCCCTCTCTTACACTATTGTGACCAGTGAATTTCTCCTCAGCCAACTTATTTGCCTCAGCGGCTCCTGTCCCTCTGTCCATCTGCCTAACTGTATGCCAATTTGTACAAAAAGCCCTGTGTTTCCCTGTTGGCAGCCTTCCTCGATGTGTGCATTTGAGACTTTCGGTGCCCCTGTGCAACAGGCCGAAGCACAGGAGGCGCTTGGCGAAAGTAGGCAGGCTACTGCCAACAACGGACGCGCAGGGGTAGTAGAGGACGTTTTTGCTGATCTCCACCTGGCTGGTCTCACTGCAGAAGCCCGGGTGGATGAGGAGGATGTCGTCGTGTACTCTGTGAAGCGGCAGCAACTGAGTGCTTCGCGCTCCTTGCTGTCGCGCTTTTTCGAGCTGTTGCGGCAGGTGTGGGAGGCTCGCCTCTGCCTCACCCACATGGGTCCCCTGTTAACCGTCAGCCGTCCCTCCCTCGTTGACGCCCTCTGGAACTTTGACGGGGCACATTCTGGTTTCCTGAGGCCCCTGCCCCTCTCCCTACAACCCCTTGAATCACAGGATAACTCCTCTCCACTCTCCTATCCCCCAGTGGATGGTGGACTCGTACAGCCAGTGTTGGGGCAATGAAAACAAAAACAACCCCCTACCCCCCCTTCCCTCTCCCCCCGCTTGCTTGCCCACCCGCTCCTCCCACTGTTCCTCCCCGGTTATTTCTTCTCTCCCCTTTAAACTATCAATTATCCGTAGTTAAAACTGTTTGAGACACAACACCTCAACGCGACTGAAGAAATCCAGGCCCCCTATCGCGTATTTTGAGGCGTCATGCCGAACACAAATACTGTGCAGTGCTGAATGTGTACAGCAGCATCAACCAGGGGTCAGCCCCAACCGAGAGTACCTTAGTCACAGCTTTCTGCCGGGGTTGCATCGCCTGGCCCTAGCAGCAGTCCAGTTCAGGGTCCTCTTGAAGCGAGCACTCTAGATTGTGACGGGTTAAAAAGGCACCGCCGCTCGTAACAGATGCAACGCTGTCTCGCCGAGCGCAGTGCTGGCTGCTCTCGGGCGGGATGGTCAGTACGCCTCTGAGAGCACCGGATTTCGAGGGAAGAGGCACGGGAACAGGAGCATGCGTACACATGTGTGGTGTGCTGTACTATATCTACGTCCCCTCGAAGAAGCGGAGGCGTTTACATCCGCCACTGCCATAAGCAACCCAGTAAGGCTAGGCACCAGCCCGGCCCCGATCTTGGCGCAAACTCCTGTAGCTTCGCATGCAGCTCTTCTGCCTCAAGCGTTATTTCATCCTCTCTCACGTCTCCGAGGCCGGCGGCGTCTAACAGCGACCGCCAGTCCACTGGCTCCCCCAAATCGGTGCTGCAGTCAAGAGCAGACGCTCCGAAGGCAGCGGGAAGCCCCACCTCACGTCTGCGCATGCGCTCCTCCTCGGTGGCCTTCCGTTGCTTTTTTATTGCCTCCTGCGTGCTGAGGCACTCTGGCAGACCCTCCTACGCACATGCAAACACATATCCCTGCGTGGATGGCGGGATGCATGCACGGCACCCCCAACAAACCAACTCACAGCCGTTCGCAGGCACCCGGCTGTTCATTTCGCCATATATCCGTCTTGGTGCCCTTCGGTCAACTACACTCACCTTGAAACGGTCAATCCTGACACGATCTGCTGCTGAAAACGCCGGCACTGAAGAGTACCTGCCAATGGCTCGTCTAGGGACCTCTACTCTCCGTGCCTCTTGAGAAGCTGCTCGAGTAGCGTGAGCCCCACCAACATCTTTCCGATGGGCAGTTGGTGCTGAGGAGCTCTTGGGGGATCTAGAAAAGGCAGAAAAGCCTGTATCACGTTCAGAAGCAGCTGAGTGGCCCTCCGCAAAGCAACGGCTTGAAGTTACAGTTTCCGCCACTGTTGCAGCTGCTGCGGATCGCTCCTTCTGCTTTGCTTTCCCCTTATCCTTTTTCGATTGCTGTGATGCGCCGCCCTGTGTGTTAGGTTGAGGTGTGATCGTGCTGACAAGACTCTCGCCAACTTTTTCTCTGGCTTCCTCTACAGCTTCCTCCTCTCTGTTGTTCCCGCTGCTTCTGCCACTGCTGCTGGGCATGGATGACGTTTTGTAGCATATAAGTGTCCTGCGTACATCTCTGCTTGGGGATGCTGCTTGTTGCTTAAGAGCTTCTGCACGGACTTTCTGCACAGAGGCGCGGGGAGGCGACCCCGCCTGGCTCCTGGCAGCGTCTGAAGGGGGAGCCTTGAGAGCAAACGCGTAGGAAGAGTAGTCATTGTTGAGTTCGTCAGAGGGGTGAGGAGGGTCGAGAGACTCTAACGCGTCTTCGAATGCCTCCGATGAACCCCGGCGGCTAGCCAAGAAGCTGCTGGCGCGGTGCATGAGGGCAGTGCGGCAGGAACTAGCGTCGCTCCTACTGCACGTCTCCTCATCCGACAGACCTGAGGGTCAACTAAAACATCGAATGCACTTCTATGGCTTCTCACGCTTTAGCATTACCAAAGCAGCAGCCCTGCCCACCAACCAGTCTCGATGAACAGGCAGGACGCCGCGGCTCGCCTACCGTACACAGGTAATGCCTGATAGACTGACTGCTTCAAATGACTCAGCTTGAGAGCACTACTTACCAAGGTGGAGCCTATGCTGCGGTGTATACGGTGGGGCAGTGGGAAAAATACGGAAACGAACAGTAAGAGCAGGGGAACTGTGCATGGGGCACCTGCAACCAGCGAGCAGTATATGATGCTTACCCAGACGCGTTGAAGTCGAAGACGTCAAGGAAGTCTGCAAAGGTACCCCATGGACGGTCTTGCTGCTCGGGCTGCCACCGATGCTCGTAGTGGAGAAGGTGCGCGGCCCCAAGGATGAGTCCCGCGGGCGCCGAGGCAGGTAGACGGCTGAGGCGGAGTGTTGTAGCATCGCCTTGAAAAAAAGAAATGTGAAGAAGACAAGGAGGCTTCCGCCTCAACAGGGTGCTTGCTGTAACACCTCTTGTAGAGATTGGCGAGGCGGGGGTCAGTGACTGTTGAGGTCCGCTGCGGCTCGGGCGTGTGGACTCTAATGGCAGTGCTATCCTCAGCAAAAGACAAAAACATGCCACACTTTCTGCGTAACGTGGCGTTTCTTTCGAATATAAGGCTCAGAAGCAGGCAGCAGGCTCCAATCCAGAGCTGGCCGCCTGCTAGCCCAGTGGGTTGTAGCACGCTGCACAAACCACTTTCGAGCGCAGAAGATAAAACGTGAGAACAGGCAAACTACAGCTTTGTCGACACGCATGAAGCAAACGAATCCAATGGAAATCTCTAGCAGAGGACAGAAAGGCACAAAGTGGAAGCCGACCGCGCGGCCGACTGTTCGAGTAGCCCACTGCAGGCTACAGGCGAGTCGCCACCGAGGTCAAGCAAGGTAAGGGCTTGTTGGTGGGGAGAACTTTGGAGAGAGTTTGCATTGCAAGCCCTGGTAAACAGAAAATAAATGCTAATGAGTCGCATTTGATTGCTTTTTACGACGCATCGTGGCAAAATTCCCGACCTTCACCAGGGGATGAGCCTCAGATGTTACTGTTCTCCCGTAAACCCTTTAGGCATCGATGCAGCTAATTGCATATGGCGCTGAAGACCTCTGAGGACCAAAAGCTGCCGATTTTTACTTTGTCACGTCTCTTTTCCCGAGAAGCTAGACCGTTCAGCAGTGCTTTTGGGAAGCACTGCGCAGACAGCACAAATGCTACTGGGTAGAGCCTTCACCTGAGGCGATCTCGAGTGGCTTGCAGCAAGATCCACCTTGTTACAGGTGGGTAAATCCCGTGACTTGCAGTCACCAAAGCTTTGAGCAAACTCGAAAAGAATGGCAGAGAACGGGTTGCTACAGTTAGACTAAGCCCCTTAGTCTGGCAGCGCGCGGCAGGAACCCGAGCACTGCTAGGGGGACAAAGGGGGAAAACAGCTAGAGAAAAGCCCCCTAGCTCTGCGTAGTAATGATTTTAGGTGTCATGGAGTTTTAGACCTCAAGGGAGTCAAGCAGCCGTTCGAATGCGAAGCTTTCAATACGATTCGGTTTGGAGCACTTCGGCAGAAACAAAAGCAGCTACGGGACAGAGGAGGTGCTAACGATGTTAACAGTCGAAAACTGTTGAGACTGGTTACTGGCATATGCAGTTACTGCATGTTGAAATAGGTAACTGTGACCTTCATCTCCCCTTCACAGGTTGTGTGTCGTTGCACGTTTTTGTACGAGTTGATGTACAGAGTATGCAGATTGCATAACCACAGTTCGACGAATTTAGAAAAGATAAGCACTTATTGTGGACGTCTCCTCTCGCTTTCCGAAAGGGATAATTGCACTTCTCATGAGTTGCACAGTAAAGAGGAGCCCTAACTATGGAGTTACTCCAAGTCGATAGTGGAGAGGCTCCGGAAAAAGATGTAAGACTAAAGCTGCTTTCTTTTGAGGGTATAGTTTGCCCTCGTGAGGGGGAGGAAAAGGGAAGTCAAGAAATCGAGTCTGCCACCTGGCTACGTGCACCTCGGAGGTAGGAGATAGCAAGATCAGGGAACTATGCAAGAGAGCCAAGCCACCTCGCTGTGCGTGCTAACAGAGGTTTCGACACACTGCGCTGCTGTAAATGGGTAAGGATTTGATGGTCAGTGAATGCTGTACGATGTACCCTTGGAAACTAGTAGAAGATTAGAACACTTGTCGAGAGAGGTGGCAAACGAGAAGAGTTCTTCGTCGTTTATCGAGCATTTTTGTTGAGTGGGGGTCATAACGTGGCTGTCAAACGCAATTGGCACGCCAGCTTTTTCGGGCATCCCACCGGTGCCATAGCCTGAGGCATCTGTGTACAGGTCGAAGGGCTGCGAAGTGTCGGGAACTTGGAGAATGGTATAGCCAATTCAACGCTTTTTGAGCCGCCGCACTGCGCCTGTTTGTGCATTTTCCACCAAAATGGGGCTTCCTTACGAGTACACCCGACGAGTGGGCGTGATATTTCGGCGAAACCAGGTCCTATGAACATGCGACAGTAATTTACGGTGCGGAGCAACGGCCACAGTTATCTCTCATTCGCCAACACCTCCAGCCATACTCGCCATACCCGGACTCCTTCGATCTTACCGTCTGCCAGATTAATGTCTAATCGTATATCCCAATTACGGCAGTCCCCTCCTCGCAAACCTGCACATGCGAACTTTCGGATAGAACTGATGTTTGAGGAAGATGCTCAGCACTTGCTGCAGGAAAACATGGGCAGCATAATCGCGACTAGGGTTATGCCCATGGCCAGCTCGAGAGGCAAGTTAGCCAAGAGAGAGTCGGTAAAATCTGGTGCCTACATCGCTGGACCGTATGCCACTATTCTCGCGCAGTTGGCAGTGCACTGCTGGTAGTCGCAATTCCGCCGGTTCTTGCCCAGTTGTTAGACTCTATGTTCGACCTTCCAAATCACGAGGGCAACGCTCGCTTCAACGATTACGAATCGGTCATGCCCGCCCTTGTGGCTCGTAGATCCAGTAATTACCCCTGTGTGGCCTAGTCTAGATATTTGACTAACTCTTGGCCCCATTGGTGCTGCCCTAGACATTTCCATTTTCCTACCCATTTTTCTCGAACCGGAATCCCCTCAAGTGTGGGAAACCCGTCATGCCTGGTACCCTTTCGCGCGGTACTGGCATTAAACAAACTGGATGTTTCTTTGCCGTTGCACAGGAGTGCTCTTCGGCGGAAGAAACGTATTGTTTTGCCGAACTCTCGCCTTAACCAGCCCACCCCCTGTGAGAAATCAATATGCGGAGTATCAGGGGTTCTTCCTTACTGCATCACTCTGTTTGAGTTCGACAGTCCCTTCAATTCCCCTTTGTGTCGCTGTTGGTGCGTTGATCTGTACTGTTAGGCCACTGTCGCTTTCCTGAAGCACGGTCCGGCGAGTTAGGGTTCGTGCACCTACGTCTCCGGTAGGTTTAA